TTGGAAACTACCTGCTTGGCTTATCCAGAATTAGAAAAAAGTCGTTTAAAGACAGAGTTGTCTGTTATTTATGCACGGAATGATTGCCGAGATTTACATGGAACTCTGTCTCTTTTGAAATTTTTTATACAAAATAGTTTTGAGATAACACTAAAAGAAACAAAAAAGCTGTTAGAAATTATTGTTACAACTCCTATGTCAACATCAGAGGCTGAGCGAAATTTCTCAACATTGAAAAGAATCAAGACTTTTCTTCGTAATACTATGACCCAGGATCGCCTTACAGCGTTGTCGATGCTGTCCATTGAAAAGGAATTTATTTCGACCATGGAACATTTCAACGGGAAGGTGATCGACAAATTTGCTGCCAAGAAGGAGCGCAGGATCGAACTGACATATAAAAAATAGGTAAGTTCGGATTTGCAGAACACCTGTTTTATTTTGCCACGAGCCGCCACTGGTAGTTGTTGAATATCAATGGTGATACATTAATTTTGAAATAAAGATGAAACAAAATTGCTATACTACAGATCTCCATAGCCGATTTTTGGACTTTTTTTAGAGTGTTTGTGAAAAACAGTATTATCGAAATTGCTCCACTGTGCACTTGGAAGACTTCAATATAAATTCAATCATCAAGATTTTTATGTAAAAAAATTTAAACAGGTACTGAACTTTCATGGTCTATGGCAAAAAGTTAATGACTTCACAAGGATTACAAATTTTTCACGAACTAAGATCGATTTAATAATAACCCATGAACAGAATTTGAGTATTAAGGTTTTACATACTCCAAAAATAAGCGACCATTCGTGGATATTTTTCAAGGTGGAAATATGTTATGTTTAACGAGAGAGAATCACAATTATTGACATTGAAACGTTACGAGAGTCACTCTTACGAGCCAATATCACAGAAATTTTTAATGATGCTGACACTTACTTCCCAAAAATTATGGATTGTATAGAGAACTGCATGAGAGATGCACAAATTAGGAAAGTGGTATATCAAAGGAGAAAGCCAACACTGGTTTTTACAAATATTTCTAGACTCTAAATTGACGCGTGATAATGACTATAAAAAGTTTATGATCACTCAAACTGGGGAAGATTGGATACAATATAAGAACTCAAGAAACAAGTGTTTAACAAATCTTATGAACGAAAAGAAAAAATATGAAAACAAAATATCGATAGCAATAAAATGATATGGAAGACACTAAAAAATATTGTATCTCCCAGTAGGAAGAATGAATTATCAAGAATGTGCTTCGAAGATGGTATAGTTACACAAAAAATATTGATTGAAGAACGAATGAACGCTTATTTTATATAAAGTATAAATGAGATAGTGGAATCAATCGAAGATGGGGATCCAAATCTATGTCACATGCACGTTACTTATAATTCTTCTATGAGACAATTCCAAACAATAAATATCTTTCAAAAGCTATTACATGTTTGAAATCGAATAGAAATCCTAGTGAACATCTTTCAAAAATGGTTATGAAGGATGTTTCAACATTATTGTAGAGAAGTTATTATTATTAGTGGATCACTGTTTAGTGTACGGCGAATTTCCTTCAAAACTAAAATGTTCTACAATTACTCCTGTTCCAAAAGTGCAAAATTCTGAGTCATTGAATTTATTGAAGAAAATAAGATAATGTACAAAATTTCAAGCAGGATTCAGAAAAGAGACAGCAATTCAAATGGTAGTAGAAGAATGAAGGCAAAATATAGATGAAAAAAAGTTTACAGTAACATTCTTAGATTTCAAGAGAGCATTTGAGACTATTGACAGGGAGAAATTGTTAACGAAATTGCAATGGTTTGGATTTCAAGGTTCAGTATTCAACTTATTACAAAATTATTTAATCTATAGAAGTCAAAGAACTAAAATTGGCAATACATGTATCAAACATTAAAAACATTTCGGTAGGTGTGCCACAGGGTAGCAAATTATGTCCATTACTATTTATTTTATATATTAACGATATTCCTGATATTTTACAACACTGCAAAATTCAACTATTTGCTGATGATACATTAATATATATATATATACAGGGTGACTTCGAAGTTGAGTCATTTATTTTAACAGTGAGTAGATCTGATCAAAAGAAATGTTTTTTTCCTTTACCATTTTTCTGGTAAAATTAAAGTAACAAAGTTATAGCCCTTTGGAAGTTTGAGTACCGCCCTGTCTCAATGTGCTCGTGTTTGGCGACAACGGATATAATCCGTCGTATCGGTTCATCGCATCGGAAACAAAAAAGCGAAAGAATTTGGAACGAATTATTTCATTCATTTGTATACAGTCAGTGTCAGTGAATAGTTGTATCTGTTGCGTGGCTCAAACGAAATAAAAAATGGCACATGTTTATGCGGATCGGTTTCCCAATCGAGTGCAACCAACCCCTCGTGCCTTTGTTAATGTAGTACAACGGGCTCGTGAATCAGGTGACTTAAGACCTCACAGGGGACCTCACGATCAAATACAGGTCCGCACTGAAATACTTGTCGGGAGGATAGTTTATAAAACAAGGTAAATTTTTTTTTTAATTTTTTTTTTAATTTTTACACACATATTTTGGTTTATATTCCTTCTACAATCATTATCTGAAAATTAATGACTCAACTTCAAAGTCACCCTGTATATATATATATATCAAATAAGGACATTGAAACTGCAATAGAGCTGTTAAATAATGATATGAATATATTATTTCAAAAATATCTAAGAAAATAAATTACTTTTATAGAATTCCGCATAGCCTAAGCGTTTATTCTAAAAAAATGGTGTACAACACTATCATTCTTCCTCATTTGTTATATTGTTCACTGCAAATGAAACTGTATTTTCAAAATTATAAATATTACAAAATAAAACTATGAGAATCATCTTAAATAAAAATAAATATACTAGAATAAATTTTATGCTGAAAGAACTACAATGGTTAAATATCAAAAATTTCATAGCCTACTTGGTTTTCATTTTCATATTCAAGTTAAAAAATCATCTACCAAATCGCTTAGAAAATTTTATTGTATTGAACAATGAGTGCCACAATTATGCTACTAGATGAAGTATAGACTTTCATTTACAAAACTCCAGTAGTAATATAACGAGCAAGTCAGTATTTCAAAAGGGATTGTACGAATTTAATAAATTAAGTAATGATATCAAGATGTGTGTCAGTTTGAAAATGTTTAAAGGAAATTGAAAAAATATCTCATGGAAAACCAGAATTCATAGTAGTGAAAAGTAGTGAAATTTTGTATAAAAATACGTAAAGCTGAAACAAACAAACTAATAATGAATGAAAATAAGTACACCAAAATAAAATCTATGTTACAAGAATTGATAATAAAAAATTGCATATCATATTTGGTTCTGAATTTCATATTTAAAATAAAAAATCATCTTTTGCCACAACATTTAGAACATTACATAAAACTGAATAATTATTACCACAATTATTATACAACAGGTAATTTCCATTCAAAAATTGCAATAGTAATATACTTGAATTTAATAAACTAAATACTGATATAAAGTCCTCTTGTAATTTAAATAAGTTTAAAAGAAAATTAATGGAGCATTTCATGAGCAGTGAAAATTCATAGAGAAGCAAGTTTTGTTTTTCTGAATATTTGTATATTATGTAATTGTTGTAGTTTCTTTAAAATAATGTAATTGTAGCAATCATGCTAAATAAATCTTAAACAAACAAAAGAAATTTTCGAGAAACTTTCATATACTATAGCTATAAAGCTATAAATTTTCGTCTGCAAAATTGTAATAGTAGCATAACTAGAAAATCAGTATTACAATAGAAGGTATTTGAATTTGATAAATTGAATATTGAATTCGAATTTAAAAATGTTTAAGTAAGGTAAGTAAATGCATAGCAATTTAATTTTGATAGCCAAGAGAAAATTAAAGGAAATTGTTTCAAAAAATGTGTAAGGGAATAATTATACAAGATTCACGTTAATGCTAAGTAGATCTTCATCAAACAGATAATATTTCCTTATCCATGTTTTCAATAAAAGGCATCTGAAATCTGAATCACATCATGCAGTCGTACTTTATACAAAGCGACCGTCTCAGGGTTTGTACAAAAAGTGCAATTCAGCCCCATGAGGTGATCCATTATGACTACAGGATGATTCCAGAGATTTTATCTGGTACCTATCTCTAATAGCTACGTCTAGGTGGCTCTTTTTGCCCTAAATAGAAGTTATTATGGAGCCTAGATTCAAACCTTAGTCCGTTTAAAATTATACAGTACTTTGTAAGTATATGTTACAGCCAAATCCTGTTCCTAGTTATAATGCGTTTTGCACAGTCGAAACTAGTTTTGGCTAAGTGTCTTTGTTAGAACTAGAATTAATTTCTGCTTAAAACTAGATGTAATGCGTTTCAGACTTCATTTCAGGTATCCTGCCGTGCTACTACAATAATTTTAAGCCTTTGTTGCATTGAGTTTTAGCATGAACCAAAAGAACTACGACGGTGCTGGTCATTATTCTTTGTCCGTTCAGCAAGGGTTTTATATAACTTGAAAAGTGACAATATGTAGGCTTTTTTACATATAGGTTTTTTACTTAATAAGCCTACTGGTTACCATATTGAATGATAGCCAGGGCAACTGAGAAAGTTGTTAATAAAGTTAAAATATGTGACTTCCTGTTTACTTCTATTAATGATAGCTTCTATTGAGCTCAAAAAGTAGCTATCCAGTGGCGCACTACACGTAGCTATTGGAGGTTGCTACCAGAATTTTCATCACCCTTTCCAAGAAATATAAGTATGTATGCCTGCGGGAATCTAAATATCAATGTTAACTAAATGTTGGCGCATCCTGCATTCAACAAAAAATTTTAGTTTAGATTTTTTTACAAACCCAATCTGTAGTACATACTAATAAGTCAATCAGGTGTCAAGAAATTATAACAACAAAATGCATGATTCTAGTTTGATAAAATTCTTACCACTTTGTAATGGAGCGCATTTTACTTGGATCATTTCTCTCTGGTGAGGTATACACTTCAAGTGCAGGTACCACCTTGAGGGAAAATCCATCTTGAGTTGACGTAACGTACTCTACTCCTCCCAATTTCCATTCTCCTGAGGAATTTACAAACACTGACCAAATATTCACATTATTATGGCGTAAATTCCCATCATTATTAAGAAACGATAGTGCCCTCTGAAAGAAAAAAACAATGCGTCAAGTACACTGACTAGTATGTCCAACACATTTGTCTGCTATCTACACTAACGCTCAAAAGTTTTGGACATCAGATTTTTTGAGGGAAATCAAACCAAATCAAACAATAATGTGTTTAATCAAAAAAATAAAAAAGGAACTATTTTCCAATAAAACTCAGTTAGTTGGTAACTTATTTCTATCAAAATTTACTTTAAATTCGTGATTCATCGAAATATCCACCACGAGCCCGAATAACTGCATGACAGACACGACTCATCCGACGTATCAAATTTTCAAGAATAGTTGGTGATAAGGATACCCACGCTTCCTGCACTAGTAGGCTCTTCTTGCTTCACCTGTCTGTCCAATTCTTCCCACTAATACTCAATAGGAGACAAATCTGGCGACTGGGAAGGCTACGCCGTGATTTTTATTGCACCAAGTTCTTGCTGCTGGTACAAATAATTGCGGCGTAGTCGGGATGAATGCACAGGGTCGTTGTCTTGCTGAAATTCGAACTTGTTCCCAACAATCTTTTGTCTCCTGTCCGATTTCCAGCAAAACAGCCCCAAGCCATTACACTCCTACCTCCATGTTTAAAAGTGGGCTGCAAACATTGCGGAGCCATGCGTTCATGGGATTGGCAGCGTACAAACTGTCGTCGTCGAGATCCGAACATTTCGAGTTTGGATTCATGCGACTACAGGACTCGATTCCAATCCTTGTGTTTTCGAGTCCATGCTAACTGGTTGAGTTTATGTATAGGTCGCAGCAGTGGTTTCCATGCTGCTACACATCCTCTAAGGTTAGCCCTTTGTAAGCGTCGTTTTACCGTGGACACGGACACAGGGTTTTCCTTCGTTCTGTTCAAGCTGTGTGCGAGTTCAGGCGAAGTTAAGTATCTATTTCGCTTATTTGTTATTACCGTAAACCTGTCCTCAGGAAAAGTTGTAACTCTGCGTCTTCCAGAGCGTGGACGATCTACGACACACTGCCTGTTTCTCTCTTTTTCTTCAAAATTTGAGACACAGTGCTCCGTCCTGAATGCAGCTTTTCAGCAATCGTTCGAATTGGCAATCCCTCATCAGGTAAGGTACACACTGCACCCCGTTTTTCAGGAGAAACGTTACCCGTCTTTACCATTTTCCATTATTTTGAAAAAAACATACCCTGGCACATCGACTAGTAGTTTATACTAAACTACGTACAATTTTTACTTTGTTTCATTGATGTATCAAATTACGCCGAACATAATACAAAGTACAAAAATAAGTAAGCAGCGGTAGGAAATCGGCCGATTTATGACTGCAATGAACTAATAAAAATATCGGCGTCTCTAAAGATGTTTACATTTATTCCCTTTTAAGTGGGGTTTTACTGATTCCTATACATCTTTACCTTGAATAGTCGTATTATAGATAGTATTAATCAATCAATGTCATACATAAGCCTTATTTAATTTAAGTTCTCTTAAAAAAAGTTACTGTCCCAAAATATTTGAGCGGAAGTGTCTTTCAATTTCCCCATATGTACATATAAATATAAAATTAAATATATAATATATAATATATAATATATGGATAAGGGGGCTGGGTAACCGAGCGGTTAGCAAGTCGAGCTGCTAAGCGGTCGATTCTCAGGCTCGCGAGTTCGAATCTCTGCCTCGAAAGTTAATTTTGAGCTATGGACGTTGTGTTGCCTATATCACGCATCAGACCAGTGAAGATCTACACAGTATCGCTGGAGCTGGTTGATTCAATGATCAGTTGCCAGTAGAGATGACTTGTACAGTAGTAGTGATGATGCTATGGGGTCAGCAAAAAGGGTCAAAGGTGGTTTATCTACCAATGTCCCTCCCATCACTAATATCACTACTACTACTACTACTGTAGTTGAAAATAGGTCTCATAAATAACTAAAAATCTTATTTGAAGAGTGTTTTGTTCCTGCCAACACTTTCGATTGAATCTCAAAAAACACGTTTTCGGATTCTTTGTTGTCAAATAAAAAGTTTTCCCACAAAAATTGGTGTACCGATTTTATGTGTCCATGTTTTAAATACCCCCATAAACAACTTGCATCAATAAAACCAGACTTTAAAATTATTATGCAAACCAGGCGTATTTTCGTACAATATGATTAGACTAGTCTATTAGAGTTAATCATAAATTCAAAACAAATATTTCTTAGGCCCGGATCGTCACTCGTCCCTACAATAATTGTAGGGCGCCTTTATGGCCTCCTTGATTGTCATAGTTTTCTACTTCTACGTGTCAGAATTCTATTTTGAGGTTATGTCACAAACATCTATTTGCATCAAATTGTGCTTGCTTTTGAGTTATATCATGTTTTATCAGCCTGAAATTTCTTACAATTTGAAAAGAAAACATACCTTCACAATAGGAGAGCGCTGATGCTAGCACGGGACAAGTGTAATCTAGAAATTTTTGAAGGAGAGAAAGGAGTATGACAATCAAGGAGGCCATAAACGCGCCCTACAATTATTGTAGGGACGACTGACGATACGGGCCTAAGGCATCCCTATTGATGTATGTAACTAAAAAATGAGGCATGTCCACTCTCTTAAAGAAAAATTCATGTACTGTTCTCTTCAGAGAGGAAGTTGTTTTTTCCAGTATCTTTATTACTGAGTATCCTGGAAATCTCATAATGGAAGATGAGTTAGAAAAAAGTGGTTCACACAGTTTATTCTGATGTATGTTTTTTTTATAGAATCAATGTTATTTTTAAATTACTCCTCTACCCCATATTACTGTTAGTAATAAAGATACTAGACCACCACAAAGCCAAGAGTATAATTATTCCAAGAATTTGGAATCAATTTGAAGAACAAGCAACAATTTGTATCAAAATTCAAAATAAAAAAATTAAAAAAGCTTTTTTTCATCAATCTGAGGTGAATGCTTTTTAAAGAAACATTTTACATTGCACAGTAAGAGCTTGACTAGCATTCTCTGTATTGGACATTACCACTTCTAAGAGCTAAGACTGACAAAAAGAAGTAGTAAAGATCCAAAGCTCATACACTAAAAAATTCAATGGCCCATTTAAGGAATAATTATGCTCCATATTTTCAAACTATATGTACATATATAAAAACATTAAAAATACATCTAATAATATGTATGTCTGAAGTAAAGTCCCAGTTTCAGTCATACAATGTTTATCTTATGAAAGTGCAATACACCAATAATAGAACAGTTATGGATAGTTTCTAAACAACAAAATGTGCTGTGAATAAATCATGTTCATTTAGGTATCATTTGTTTTCTCATTGTTGCACTTGCATAGCTTTTGGCACTAGTGATATAGTAATATCCCAATCTAGTCCTATATTTGAGGGTTTAAATTTTGGTGTTTAAAAGTTTTGTCCTACTGGTGTTATGTTATTCCCTAATTCAAAGATTATGGTTTGAATACAGTTTTTTGGGGAAATAGAAGATTATGACTCTAAAGGTAATGATTTAACATTAATTATTGTTTTAATATATGTTGACGCTAAGACCTTGAATGGTCAATAGTAAATGTTTATAGACTGTATAACATGTAGAACTTATTAATGAACTTATTGATCAACAAACATATGCTATATATTTTATAAGCAGAGGGAAATCAGAAATGTTCAAAATCAATACACTTTAAATCAATGAAATCTTTCTATGGGTCTCACACATAAATTATTAGACAGATAAAAGTTCAATGCCTGATCCAATGTTTATGTACTTGGAAACAATGAACATAGCAACAGATAATTAGAAAATATATTTTTATTATCATTGGAGGTAGCATCATTTGTCACTATCACATCGGCCCTTACCGTTATTTGAAATATACCCCAAGCTATATACAGATCCCTTTGGGGCCCCTCTAGTGGCAATTTTTCCAGATGATCTTTCAAAGGATCTACATACTCTGTTGCTAGATATAAAACTTTGTCAGATTCCAAGCTATCTATGTAGGTGAGAACACTGGGATGTCGAAGAGTCTTCAACCTTTTCACAGCTGATTTTGCTATGTCCAAATCAGCTTCTGTATTGCTCTTTAGATCAAATACGAACACTGAAACCTCTTCGTTGGAGCCCTGCAGTTAAAATTTGTTAGCAATTACAACAGAGGTAGTTTCATCTCATCAACCTTTTTCTTTCCTTTGTGAAGATTCCATACACTTTTGTCGATCAAACTGGATACCAACTCTCCAATTTCAAAATTGAAGTCCTTAGAAGGGTCACGCGAGAAAAACGACCACATATTTTAAATTTTTATGCGTATTATGTATTTTATAAACATTTAAAAACCTAACCTATAAAAGACATGAATCAACTTTGACGTTTGTTTGTGGCAAGTTTGGGGTTTGGGCACGTCACTCGTCAGCTGACACCACCAAAAGATAAATCAAATCCAAGCGAATAACCAAAATTTCTGTGTTATGTGCCGCGGTTACAATATGGTTCAAGATGACACACGGGTTGATGACGTCAGTTACACGAATCGCTTGAACGCGTTGGTTTTAACCGCGGTTTTGTTCCAAGTTGTTTATTTTAGAAAAGCGCGTGTGTAATCTGTGATTATTTTTATTATCACTTAATAATCGGTGCTTTTTCGTCTACAACTGTATATGGAAAGTTTAAATAAGAAACCTTTCATAATATTCATGGGAGAAATGTTTTTTTCAGATTTTTTTTTTAATGATGAAACCATGGCTTTGTAGCTATGATTCTCTAAATTTTTCCGCATGTCAAAGAAAACATTTATTGATTCAGCAGAAATGATGAAAAAAGAAATTAGCAAAACCGTATACAGGTGGATATCGTCTAGTGAGTTTATATGGCCATATTTTAATATTCTTGTGGTATATGGCTACACAGGATACTTTGTTAAGCATAGGAACTACATTTGAAATGTCCCCAACAACCGTAATGAGTATAACTAATAAGGTGCTCCACTTTATGGTAAAACTGAAGTCAGCCTGTATCATTTTTCTCAAAAATGAAGCTGAAGTACAATAACAATATCCAACTCCCGGCAAAATTCTAACTTGTCACATTTCAAATAATAACCAGAAATATAAAACTACTCTTGAGTTGGGTAAATACCACAATTTTGCGGTGATAACTATGACATATAACAGCTGATCCGTGACGTCACGGATCTTATAACCAAACTGATAACTACACTCGCTTGAACGAATTGGTAAATACCAACCCAAAATGGTAAATACTATTTCCATTTGGTTATCCGCTTAAATTTGATTATAGTGTTGGGTGGAAGTGGAGCGGTTGAGTGGCAACATTTGTAGAACTTCTGTCAGCCGATCTTCCGTTCTTGTTTGTTTTTTCTTCAAATAATGGTTCTCAGTTTTATATCAAATGATTAACTAGTAATCTAGTTATAGCCAAATAATCCTACAATTCCTAATATATGTTGATCCTAAAACTTAGATATAAAAGGTATTTTATAAATGACCGTAGCAACTAAATGATTCCAATATACCATTATTTACCATCATTTATGCTTAAGCTTTTGGCATATTTTTGAATTTTCTTAATTGATATTGGCAACACTGTGATCGAATTATTTGATCTATGGATGATCATGGAGCAAATCTAGGCACAGAATTCATAACACGGTTGCCATATTGGAGGATTTTCTCCCGAATTTGGGATATTTTTTCCTTTCTGTCGGGAACTTTTGCGGGCTAAAATGTTCTGGTGGATTTTTTGGAGGAAAATAATATCCTTAGGTATTTTTGGAATATTTTATTCCACACAAAACTGTACACTTCTGAATAACATTTTTTATTTATTTCTGTAGCTTTTCTTTTCTCATGGTCGCACACGCACACGTATCTCCACAAAATACCTACAACTACAACATCAGTTCTAAGTTAGTAGACCTGTATCCATAGTCATTAAACAGAAAAGAACGGTATAGTAAGATGCCGGTTGATCTAGCCATTCTTGTCTGACCGGGGTTTCAAGAGAAAGAAGTAGATAATGACTCGTGTTCTCCGAGATCTTCCACCGATTTGCTCGTCTTGTCTGGCTGACTCATCTGGCGACTCATTCACTGTCCGAGTACTCTGTAATAACCTGAAGCGCGTTGCGTCGAAAGACAATATCCGATGTTAACCAAATCACAATTATAATCAAAGCATTTGCATGAACAGGGCTTTGAAATTTGGGCGTTAGCTTATTCACATCAAAATAAAAAAAAAATAAGTAAACTTTCCTCATTATTGTCAGTAATCCGTACTGTCAAATTCCACGATGTACTTCAGTCGTCATAAAAACTACTCGTCTTTCGCCGCCCTTGGTTATTTGCTTTCGCTGCGAAAACTAACGTAATGGACGGCTTAACGATTAGTTATTTTTGTTGCACTAAAAACAACTTTCTTGAATGCTGGCATATATAGAATATCCTGTAATTTCGACATTGGACTGCGCTCTGTAAACCCTATTTAACGAGTATCCACCAGGTCTTGACGTATACTAAGGTGAACAGCAGGGCTGCGTTCATAAATTGTTACAGAGTGTACTTTGTCCTGCTAATTGTGTGTGTGCCCCATGTATGTACCTGTTTGTATCTCCACATCACTGTTTGAACAGTGGAGCACCACGAAAAGTTCAACAGCTGCCGTTGTCAACCCCTGAGGTCCTGAGAATTATCAAAACCTCAGAGATTACTTCTGACCTAACCAAAAGGCTCAGCTCTGAAGGATATTTACAGAAAACAACATTTGTATGACTCAATAACTAATGATGATTTGTACTGCTTATTGCCCAAGTTAGTTTACATACTTCGTTTTAAATCAGCTATTGTCAGAGCAGTAGGGTTGATTTACATATCACACTATAATTTTAATGAAATCAAAACCAAGTATTGTTATTGAACGATAACATGGGTCCCCTCAGGGGGCTGTGGTAACAGTTATCTCTTGATGATGATCAGCACATCTGAGAAAAATTCCTGTGGGTATCCGTGGACAATCATATTATTGTTCTAATAAAAAAATAAATCTGTGAATTGTAGAAACATATCAACACAATTCAATTTTTTTCTAAGTTTTGATTTGTGCAGGTGCCAACAAAGGCTGGGGAATGCAAAAATCTGGACCATAATGATGTTAATACTGATTTGTTTGTAGAAAAATGTATGAGATTTATATAACAAATATATATTTAGGTATTTGCAGTATATGTTTTTCTTCTGAACCTTTCCAGATTAGTAAGTAGATATGAGTGATCTTACAACAGCTTGTGTTATTGACGTTGCTATTTTAACATTCAAAAAAAGCATTTAATCGCCGAGATAGCTCAAAATGTTAATAGCACATGCTGTTATAAGATCTCCCATATTCCACCAAATTTCTATATACTTCGAAGTTGAGTCATTTATTTTAACAGTGAGTAGATCTGATCAAAAGAAATGTTTTTTCTTTTAAAATTTTTCTGGTAAAATTAAAGTAACAAAGTTATAGCCCTTTAGAAGTTTGAGTACCGCCCTGTCTCAATAATAATGTTATGTGCTCGTGTTTGGCAACAACGGATATAATCCGCCTTATCGGTCCATCGCATCGGAAACAAAAAAGCGAAAGAATTTGAAACGCTTATCACGATGTTTTTACTACAATTTTATTCAATTGTATTCAGTCAATGTATCAGTCGGTAACGCGTGAGTTGCGTGGATCAAACGAAATGAAAAATGGCACATGTTTACGAAAATGCTGAACTTGTGGACATGATTCTTATTTACGGGGGGGAGTCTTTACAAAATGCTGCCGCGGCATCACGGATTTATGCGGATCGGTTTCCCAATCGAGTGCAACCAACCCCTCGTGCATTTGTTAATGTAGTACAAAGGGCTCGTGAATCAGGTGACTTAAGACCTCACAGGGGAGCGCATGCCGGTGCTCCAAGACCGCACGATCAAATACCGCACTGAAATACTTGTCGGGAGGATACTTTATAAAACAAGGTAACATTTTTATTTTAATTTTTTTTTATTTTTACACACATATTTTAGTTTATCTTCCTTCTAGAATCATTATCTGAAAATTAATGACTCAACTTCAAAGTCACCCTATATATAAGTATAGCAATCTCAGATTTATATGTAGAGCTGGCAACGTTGCGGGATATTGATGCTCACTCTGGCAACAGCGTCGCACCCTCAAAAAATGGCCGCTGACAACCATACAAGTCTCCGTGTCGCCATTGAATAGCATGGAATTAAGTTGAATTAAACCTTCTTCAGTGTTTATGTTTTGTGTTGTATATATTTTGTGACTCTCAGTGGAGAGCGTGGAGCCTGTATGTATTGTGATATATATTTTTTGTGCCGTGGTTCTGTGTTTGATATTTTTTGTGGTGTTTTTTGGTTATATTCAATTTGTTTATCATATATTTTGCTGTTTGTGAAGTTATTTAAATAATTAGTAGCTATTTTACTGAAGGAGTGTTATTTGGTGATATACGAGCTTCGCCACTCAAGATGCTTATAAACTCTTTCAAACACCCAGACTCAAATATTCGGCTCCAGCAAAGAGACGTTTGTGCTGTATTAGATAAAAAGGATTTGGGCAATGGAACTCTTTATGTTAGCGAAAGGTAGGTAATATTTGATATAGTGCCAACAGCATCATACAGTTCATACAATATTGTTGTATAATTCCAGTACACTATGCTGGCAGAAAGATGATGAATCTATAGGATTTACAATAGGGTACCACAAAATATCTCTACATGCAATTTCTAGAGATACACAGTTATGTGATAAGGAATGCATATATGTGGTTCTTGATGGAAAGATGTACATGCCAGGTAATATGAATTTAAAAAAAATAAAAACCTGATTGCAGTAATTGGAAGAAATGATTTATTGTGCTATCAATACGAATCTGGGATAACTAAAATATCAAAACCGTACAAGCTATTTGGGCTGTATCTTGTGATATAGAAGTGCCAAACTTGGAGTTTGCAATTAAAACTTCTATTTTGATTTTATAATACCCAATGTTACTGGCACTGTTAAGACAAATCTAGAAACACCTCATATATCAAAATCCATCCAGCTCTTTAAGCTACAGCCTGTAAAGTACACATGTTACATAAGTACATACAGTGACTGCAGGCTAATTAAAATGACCCAAAATTTTATTTTGGTTGATAAGCTGTTTTTGCATTTATACACATGATATTTATTTATAAAGGTTAGACATTAAACACACTCTACCCCAAATCAATCATAATTTATTAAAGGATTTAACAAAAAAACAGTATTTACAAAAAACCAATGAACACCAAATTAAAAATGAATTCAATATTTTAATTTGACAATTGAAAAAATCAGTATTTGGATAACCTTCAGCTTCTTTTACTGCTAGACATCTGTGCATCGACTCAATTAAACTTTGACGGTGAGAGACTGGGATGGAATACCAAGGTTCTTTGAACAGTAGCTCGTCAATGTTTCTAAATTGCTTTGGCTGAATTATTCTTTTAAGATCATTCCACAGATTATCTATTGGGTTAAGGTCTGGACTACATGAGGGCCATTCAATTACATTAATGGAGTTTTGTTCAAACCATCTTTGTACTGACTGTGCCCTATGCTTGGAGTCGTTATCAGGTTGAAATTTCCAGGTAATTGGTAATTTTTGTTCTGCATATGGAAGTATCTGATTTTCTGATATAGATTTATATTTCTCTTGGTCCGTAATTCCATCTATTTTATAAATTGGTCCAACTCCATACCATGACATGCAGTTTCACATCATGGTTGAGCCACCTCCATGTTTGACAGTCAGTTTTGTGAATCTTGGATTTAATTCCTCACCAGGTGGTCTTCGTATGTATGTACGACCATCCGATCCGAGGCGATTAATCGTTGTTTTGTCTGACCAAAGTATATTTTTCCATTGGGCTAATATCCACTGCTGTTAAATGGGGTGACTTTTTCGACAGACAAATGGTAATTTGATCCTCTCTTGTAGTTGTTATTCTTAGCCTTTTCTTCCTAGGTACATTTATAACAGTACCGTTAGTTTTATAATGTGGAATAGCATTATGAACCATGAATTTGGAACATGTTTTCATTGATGAAACTTTGCTATATGAATGCCCTTCTCGAATCAAATTTACAATTACTTGCCTTTTTCAGGATCTCAACTTTCCTTTTTACCCGTACTGCTTGTTTTCTGGTCACTTTGTATTACTAAGGCAAGACACCAACTAAACAATAAATACACTGTATAGGTTGTATTCAGCAAAAATTGCTGTACCACATGCAAAAAATAAGTCGTTTTTATTTAGCTGTCCGTGATATTTATAAATTGTTACCTTATGGAATTCCAAACATGTCTTGATTCCACATTTTATACATATGCAATCTCGAAATGGAGTGATAAAAACATTTATGTGAAAATAGAACTGAACTGAATGTATTTTAGCATTGAATATTAAAAATTGTATCGGTTTTAATTTGCTGGCTGCCACTGTATGTTATGGCTGAATTTTTTTATCAAAATGTCACTTTGTTTCCTTAAAATCATATTATACCCAGTGTTATGCACAGTGCGAACACAAATCAAACAACACCTCTTATGTCAAAATTTTTAGGTTGTTTAGGTTTAGGTTTTTTATTAAAATTAGCTATTTTGTTCATATGAAAAGTTATTAAACCCAGTGCTATTCAAACTATTAAATCAAATCTAGATACACATCATATGTCAAAATCCATCAAGTTTTTTGAGCTGTAGCCTGTGAAATATGAACATACATACGAGCCCCTTCCCACTTCAGTTGGCCCACCTATTGAAATCTTAGTTTTTTTTCTTATCAAACACAAATAATAAAAATGTAGCAGGGTGTTATAGGTTTGAAATATTAACAATGAATATTTTCATAATATATAGTAGAAAACACCAACTTTACCACTCCCTAATCAAATTTGCAGCATAAAAATATAATATAAACATATCAACCGATTTTCATTTCAATGCAAAATAAGTCTATAATGCATAGGTGGCTGTGAAAAATAAAAGCCATGATAATTGTTTTTATTAATCACAGCTGTCAGAATACGTTTAAAATAGTTTAGGGTAGTTAAGGTTTTCAAAATGGGTAGAGGAAAGGTTATTAGTGAGAAAATTTGGTTACAGATAATTAAATTTTTTAATTCTGGGAAATCAAACTCAGAAATTGGAACTTTGTTAGACTTATCGCGGTAAAGTGTGAGAAATATTGTTAGAAGGTATAACGTAACTGGTTCAGTTAATATTAAGCCACGATATGTGAAAAAAAGTAATATCATAAATGCCGACCGAAGAGCATTAAGAAGAATAATGATGAAAGACAGGCGTGCCAATTATTTACAATGAAGTGCTCTGTGGAGTGATGCTGTTGGAAGGAGAATTTTGAGGTCCTCAACTCATAGAGAGGCCCTCAAACTGGGATTTAGCACTTGCAAAGTAAGTTTTCTTATAAAAAAGTCAAGTAAAAACCCTAAAGTTGCACAACTTGTTTATAGGCCAAAGAAAAGCCACTATTAACTTCACTGCAAAAGAAAAATCGGCTTAGATGGGCAAAAGAACACAGACAATGGACACCTCAACAATGGTGTGCAATACAATGGAGTGATGAGGCCCGATTCGAAGTTTGTGTTGGTGACAGTCGCAGTCGAGTTATTCACAAAAAATGAAGCATTCCATGTTGACTGTCTGAAGAGAAAAGTGAAATTTCCAGCATCCATTATGGTCTGGGGCAGTATGTCATCAAAAGGAGTAGGAAAACTTCATTTTATTGATATAAATGTGGATACAAACAAATATTTGGCAATTTTGGAAGAATCGCTTTCACCAGTGATGTAAGAATGTTTGACATTCGGCCACGATTTTGTGTTTCAGCAAGATGGTGCAGCATGCCATACTTCAAAAAAGGCTATTAAATGGATGGAAGAAAATAATGTACCACTTTTGAAATGAGTTTCTAGCAGTCCAGATCTGTCACCTATTGAAACTTTGTGGCACAAGATCAAAAATGTTCTACGACGACATCCTGTTCGTACAATCACCAAACTGAGACAAAAGCTTCAAGAAATATGGGATTGTTTTACACCAAATTTTTGCCAAAATTTGGTTAACACTATGCCCCAAAGAATTTCAGCCGCAATAAAAAATAAAGGTGATGTTACCCAATAGTAATCTTTCAATTGTTGCTTTGTTAACTTCGCGCATTTATTCGCACATTGTTTATTGTTCAGATGTTCTATTAGTTATAGGTCTAAGTGATTTCAAATATGTATTTTTTACGACTAGAGTGTATCTAAAATGTTTTTGAGAAAATAAAGTGTTTTAGAAGTAAATACTTGTCATGTTTAGTTTATAAAGGCATATTTTGGTACAAATCTTGAAGTGGGTCAACTGAAGTGGGAAGGGGCTCGTACGTATAGTTGTAGTCACCATTCTTGGCGGGTCATAGTAAGACTACCAGTATCCCTTTATATATCTTCATCTTCCTTATACATACACATGCAAAACCTACCCCTGAGTGTGAACATCTGTTCGGTAAGCTCAAAGACATACATTTTTTAGTTGTGTGTCTGCCTTGTAAACGTTGTTGTTACATACGAGTAAATATGATTTTTCAATCACATTTGTCGGAGTGACAACTTACTTGACATTGGCATGCAAATCGAGTTGTCCTATTATCACTCTTTAATATAAGAATTGTAAAATGCCAAGAAATGTGATCAATGGTGCTAAATTTATTAGAGTATTTCCAGGAAGAGAATGTAAACAGCGGTTCGCTGTTACCCACTTCATGTGTACTGGAGAGAGTAGCAGATGCGCTGAAGATTAGTATGCGCAGTGTTCTGCCCATGGTCTGGAGACTCGATCTGTTTACCTATTTCATATGGCGTTGATGACATAACCGCCAAGAACGGTGACTACAACTATATACACCCACGCAAAAAAACATAACACTCCTAGTAGTTGGCTAAAAAGACAGAATTCCTATCATATCCTTCAATTCATTAATTAGGTGATGAACCCAAAGAAGATCCTGATGATGAAGATGCTAGTGATGCAGACTCAAGCTCAGAAGTTACTGAGTTACTATTGATCCCAGAAAATATGATGTTAGTTCAGACTATATATGAAACAATAAAAGTCTGCCAGGTAATTATATTATTTTGTGTTAAACATAATTTATCCAGTTGTTCAATAGTTAGCAATTATAAATACTTCTATTCCTGCACAAACGAACTGAAGTTTTCCAAAATCTGCGTTGCTAGATTCTCCTAATGTGTAGTGCATTACTAATTTCATATATATTCAGGCATTTGTAGAGGCATGTTTCTAAAGAGGTGATTTAAGTCTTCTTGAGGTCTCTTATCTCAAGCTAGCTATACTTTGTTCAGAAGATGTGCTTGCTTTTGTGGAGGATGGTGAAAATCCCAACAGTAGTAGTAGTAGTAGTAATCTTTATTGATCATAGAAAAAATACACAAGTATTCATAGACATGTCAGTAATGAACAAAAGTGCAGCATCATAGACATAAAAGTACACTAACTATAATAAACTCAATATACAAAAAGACACTAATATGATTTTACAAAGTCGAGCAAAATGTCAAAAACATTATTAAATTATCCGTACAATTTAGTCACGAAGGCCTGCCTATCACTTGCCAAAGCATAATATTCCTCAAAACTGTAAATATAGTTCCTAATTAATACAGATTTCAATTTACATTTAAATCTGCTCAGCTGAAGCGATCTCACCTCATCTGACAGCACATTGTACAATTTGATTTTTTCACTTTTACATACCTATATTAATTTTTGATAGATAATCAGGCCATACAAAGAGTTATATTCAATGATCTAAAGCCCAGCCTGCACGATTCATGTTGCTTTAAATTAGCAATTCACCTCATTGTAGATTTCTGAACTTTAAACCCTTTTTCAATATGTACGTAGTCATGCCATAAGTTCTGTCCATCGTTTTCAAACAAGTGTAGACCTGTTAATACTTGTCCGATTGTTTACATTGTGGTGTCAGTTGATTAAGCGCTTTTCGGGTAATTACATATACCTCAGTTTGTATTGATCTCTCGAAGCATAACGATGGAGTGGGGCAAGGCAGAGAACCGTATTGCAGTGATAGCTTTACATAAGTGTAATCACAGTGCTAGTCAGATTTTTGAACTCTTACGCGGCCTTCAAATATCGCGTAAATTTGTGTCTAGGACCATTCAGCGGTACAATGAGACGTCCTCTGTTGATGACAGGCCAAGAAGCGGAAGACCTCGTCAAGTAAGGACTCCAGCAGCCATCAAAGCCGTAAAAGCCAGGATTCAAAGGAATCCACTCCGGAAGCAGAAGATCCTATCCAGGGAAATGAAGATTCCTGTCCGGACGATGTCGCGCATCATTAAACAAGACCTAGGGCTAGGGGCTTACCGGAGACGTACGGGCCAGCGACTTACGGCCACCTTGCGACACATCAGGGCGACAAGATCCAAGAAGCTCTTGGAGAGGTACGCAGCTGGGGGATTCCGAAAGATTTTGTTCACGGATGAGAAAAATTCAACCGACAAAATGACAAAGTGTATGCAAGGAGTTCACAGGAAGCTTCGGAGATCATTCCGAGAGTTGAGAGAGGCCACCACCCTGCGTCAGTCATGGTTTGGTGGGGGGTGTCCTACGAAGGGGTCACTCAGCTCCATTTCTGTAAACAGGGCGTGAAAACAAAAGCGGCAAACTATCAGAGCGACATACTGGATCCTATCGTCAAGCCTTTAAGTGGTACATTGTTTGCCAACCAACACTGGGTCTACCAGCAGGATTCCGCCCCCGCTCACAAGGCTAAGAGTACGCAGCGCTGGCTGGAAAGCAATGTGCCAGAGTTCATTGCTGCGGAAGATTGGCCCTCAGGGAGTCCGGACCTCAATCCTTTAGACTACAAGTTGTGGGACCTGCTAGAGCAGTTGCCCTGCTCCAAAGCCCACCGTAATATCGAGTCCCTGAAAGCGGATTTGATCCGATCAGCGGCAGCTATTCCTTTGGAAGCTGTGCGTGCAGTGATAGATGAGTGGCCCGCGAGATTGAAGCAGTGTGTGAAGGCCAAGGGGGAACATTTTGAATAAAACTGTTTGATTATGAATTCTAAAAATGTTGTCGAATAAATAATATCTTTCATATAAATATATCTTATCTTGTTTCATTTTTATCATGAGATTATCATGGGACAGAACTTATGGCACGACTACGTATATTAGCTGCAGAGCTCCAAACTAAAAGTCGATAATGTAGAATAGAATCAAAAAGAGAATAATAAGCTGTAAGTGCAGCTATTTCATTGACTGTATATTTTATTTGCCCTATAGCATAAATTGCCCTGTTTAATTTATTTCATAAAATGTTTACATGGTCATTATACAACAGACTATAGTGTCCAACAAAACACCCAGAAATAGAGTTTTAGTCATTTCCCCAACCGTACTGACTGGTTTAGTTTCAAAATAAAGAGATTCAGTTTTTACTTCATTCAGAACAAGCTGGTTTGTGACACGCCTTATGCCGATCCAGGACGCTCCCAAGCATGCACGCTGCGTCCACGCCCCTCTCTACAGCAACTCCAAATGTTGCATCATTGGCTTACAGCATGGTCTCTATACCATGTTTGTTTTTGAATGCTTGTGGCAAATCATTCACATATATGGGAAAGAGGAGTGGGTCCAAGCTATGTTAATTGGAAAAAAACAACGGGTCAGCTAAATATTGGGAGGATATTGAATTCATAGAAAATTTTAAATACCTTGGGGTTTTTGCTGACTCTCAATTAATTTTTTATATTCATTATGAAAAAATATAAATAAGATTAGTAGTGAAGTGGGATATTTATCAAGAGTTTCTGGATGTCTGAGTTCATATAGCAGAAACATTAATACTATCATTCTTCCAAATTTCTTGTAGTGTTCAACTATTCTATATTTAGCTAATAATTCCATTTTTGGAAGACTGCAAATTTTATAAAACAAGTGCATGAGAATAATACTGAATAAAATATACTCCAATTAGACAAATGTTTAGCAAATTAAAATGGCTCAATGTAAAAAAAAATATCAAATATCTTGTAATGATATTATTCATTTATATAAGTAAAAAATAATATATGTCCACCATGTCCAGCTAATTTAACATCACCAAATGCCGAACATTTACATAATACCAGAAATAAAGATGACTTCCATTTAATTACCAAAAATTATAAGATAGGCTACAAATCAGTACTCCATCAAGGGTTGATTAAATATAATAAATTATATTGCGAGATAAAAGACTAGAAAACTTTGACAAAATTCGAAGTAAAATTGAGGAATCACTTGTTAAATCTACAATTATAGCTTTCCCAGCATTTACATCACTGGTTTGAATTTACTAATTCAAGGTTGTTTATAATAATTATTCTGTGTATGTAGCCAAACATGCTAAATAAATCTTTCTACTACTACTATAGTCAACGCCAAACAAAGTGGCGTGCACGTCATCACGATAAAAATTCCCCGACCTAATGCCTAGGTTTCTATCACAAACAATTGCTCTATTGCAGTTTCATATTAATGTGATATATAAATTGTAAAATGGTCATTACTCTCTTATTATGGTTAATAGTCATATAAACATTGTTATTAAAATATCACATAAGTTGCTTTCTGATAAATTTAGACGCATTATGCGAAATAAAATGTTTTGCAAACGCTCCAATCACTTATCGACATGTAAACGCACTAAACCGATTTCGCAGCGTTGACACATTGTCACCTTGAAACTTATTTAAACTGGGAACTGACATTTGTATTAATTTTGACACTGAATCAATTTGTGGCATTTCAAATCTTTATAAATCCTTTGGCCCCGCATACTGTAAATCAACAACTGTTTGTTTCAAAACAAAATTATTCATTTTACGAGTAGATAAAGGCAATTTTGGTATATAAAGATGCCCAAACAGTTAAATAGTCGGTGTAAGGAACTCGTGGCCTCGTTAATGCACTACTTTGAGCAAGAAAGGGACAACAACGGGCCTTTGTTGCCTTTAAATGCTGTTCAAGAGGTAGGTTACTAATAATTATATGTAATGTATATTAATAATAGTGAAATTTTATTTCATTTTTTGTAGCGTGTTGCTGCTGCTTTAAAAATTAGTTTAAGGTCAGTTAGTCGTATTTCCGAGGGTGTGAAAAGTGATGCAAATTTAGAATCGCCCAAGAAAAAGCGGAGTTATATTAAACGTGTAACCAACACAGCGACATTGGATACAAGTGCCATTCGAGAAGTGATCTATAATATGTATCACAAAAGTAAGATCTTATTATAATAACTTATCAGAAATTTGCATTAATTTGTTAACTAAATTATAATGTCATATTACACATGGTTTCAGAAGAACAAGTTACGATACAAACTTTATGGTCTCGATTAAGAGATAGGGCATTATTTGATGGTAGTGCCACGTCTTTAAGGCGGTTGCTTAGAGATCTTGGATTTAAGTGGCTTAAGGACAATCCGCGACGAGGGCTCATGGAACTACCAAGTATAGCTTTGAAAAGGGTGGAATTTCTAAGGCAATATAATCAAGCCAAGGTTGAGGCCTTATACCAGTTTGTCTTCCTCGATGAAACTTGGATATTTCAAAATGGGACCATAGGTCGCTCTTGGCAAAATGGAAACCAAAAAAGCGTGAAAGCTATTAAAACAGATGGTAAAAGGTATGTACTTTTACACAATTTGCACTATAGAATTTAAAACTAATATATTTTAGATACATTATATTACATGCTGGAAATGAAAATGGGTTTATTGAGGGTAGTGAAGCGATATTTTCTTCGAAAACAAAATTGAGCGATTACCATGGAGAGATGAACCAGGACAATTTTTTGAAATGGTTTCAACATCAGTTATTAGAAAAATTGGAGAGTCCATCTATGATTATACTGGATAACGCCCCTTATCACAGCATGATATTGAACAAAGTGTCCAACAATGCATGGACAAAAAAAAATATCCAAGACTGGTTGACAAATCAAAACATACCATTTTTAAACACAATGTTTAAAACAGAGCTATTGAGTATTGTTGCTCGGTACATAATGCTTCTTAATTATATATATTTTGGTCGACAGTTTATATTTCTTTTGTTTATTCCTATTCTTAAAATAACTGCTTTTTTAGAAACAAACCACCTAAAATATACGTGATTGATGAATTGGCGGAACAACGTGGGCACAAAGTTCTTCGTCTGCCTCCTTGCCATTGTATATTTAACCCTATTGAGTTAATTTGGGGCATAGCAAAAGGTTACTATAACAGACATATTGGTAGAGATGGTAACAGTGAAAAAGACTGTTTGGATATGTGGAACGAGGCTCTACAAACGGTTACCCCAGACATGTGGAAAAATAGTGTTCGACATACTGAGCAAGAAATTTTTAAATGGTATGAAAGAGAACGAATTTTTGATCGACCAGACATCGAACCTTTAATAATCAACTTTGAGAGTGATGAAGATTCAGATTCAGACAGCGCTGAAGAAAGAAACTCCGACTAACTTTATTGTACAGAAAAAGCTTACACCAGTAGCTTACCTAATTTTAGAATGCATTTTTCTGTATGAATTCTGTAAAATAAATACCATGCATAAAATTTGGGGGACCCCATTTGGATTTTTATTCAGTACCTTTAAGCTATCAATTAAATATGGTAGTTTCATAGTGTCATCTGATCAATAATTGTCATACTTAATGATTATGCGAGTACAGATCTATAATTTTATTATACTATTATTTTTGTTCTCATTTGAGGTTAATATTGCTTATAAACCTAGATATGTAAATAATAAATTTTATTATTTTACAAAAAGTTTGGCAACAATGTAAATTTTTCAACACACCCACCTTGATGACGTGCACGCCACTTTGTTTGGCGTTGACAATACATTATATGTTCAATGATCTGAAGATCTAGCAGGCAAACAAAGGAAGCTAAAGTGAGCAATGTTGGGGTAAGACTTAGTTCAGATGACGTACGGCTGACGCTCGCTTTGAAATTACATAGAATTGATACTAGCCGTCCGCACGGACGCGCGCATGAGAAGTCATACGCGCGTCGGTCAGCGTCGACGCGCGTATTGAAATTCTAGACGTTCCCATTGCCTCTTCAGTTGGCGCGCGTCTTTCTTAGCATTCAGGCGACATACCAGATGTGTCTTGCAAAAAAATAATTCCTTACGTATGGTAGTTAGTGAAATGGAAGTAGAATAACTCAACATCGATCTTTTCATTGATGAAATTAAAAACAGGTCAGCGATTTGGGACATGCAATCCACGTTATACTCCAATAAGACGGCAAAAAGAAGCGCCTGGGAGGAAATGGTCCTACTTTTTTACAAATCCGTTGACACCGAAGAAAAAAAGAAAATATTAGGTACGGTTGTGCGTAATGCTTTATTTATAATTAATGTTTACACAAAGTACTTTGTCAATTTTACTCGAACTCTATCTGCATCCTTTATATTACGACCAATATGTTTACCGATTTAATGTTGTCAGTGGCGCTGTGTTTAGTATATTCTCAAAATTATATCCATCATTAATTCGTCCGTAATTTTATAAAATACATTATTGCCTTAACAATACACTGCGAATTCTACGTTTACATCCAGTGGACGGTGTAATATTCGCCATTCATTACACGCAATACCAAACGTGCATTCAACATAGCTTAGTGTAACAATGAGTTTTCCTTGTGGTGAAATGCAATACCTTACTACATTCGCATCTGCTACAATATCATCCTTAATGATGGACAGTAAGTTATCAAACGATTTTATTGACAGTCTAAAGTAGTTGAAAAATTTAGGTTCATGCTTTCGAAGGTTAGGATACAGTGTAAGGTATAAACTTGTAGAAAACCTATTCCTTAAAATTGGGTGAACCCAGTACGCCCTTTCCCTCCTACGCCACTCTACATAAAAGTTTTACAAAGTCGTACGCGTGCCTTCTGAACATTGACACAACAAACGTGCGCAACGTCGACGCGCGTCATCTGAACTAAGCCTAATCTATTGAAGCTCTCACAATATGGCGATGAGCATTGTCTTGTTGGAAAACGGAGTTTCTGGGGTTTGGGGAAGTGCCAAAAGATGATGCTATAGAATTTCCTGGATATACTATTGCACTATCATACCTTCTCTAAGGAAAGCTATGGGTGACTTAGCACCATATGTATGTAATGTGTAAATATTTCTACAGTATGGTGAAAACTTTACATTACATCTTTTCCCTAGACACCCCCTTACTGGGATCTGTCATCATGCATTCCTTAACAGATCCAAGACCAAGAAAATTGGCAAGTTGAATGATATAACATTGTTTTTAGTGATGAGTCTCAGTTCTGTTTAGTAATGGACAAGAAAGAATGAAACAATGTGATGATGAACTTTACTTCAACTTTATGAATGAAACCAGATATTCGAAAAAAATAAATTCTATACTTTCTATTTGGTAGGACAGCATAACAGCTGCTCATAGGTATTGGGATTGATTATAGTGGTGTGCTTTAAGTATTGCAGATTCTATTTGGGTCTCATATGAAACATGCATTGGTTATCACTTGAGTCAGGGAATTGTGGAAGACATATCTTATGACAATAGTATTTATCTAAACTGAAGAAATATTAAAATACTAAAACCTCAACTATGTTCCATTTTACGTTGGATTTAATGCAAATTAAATTAGGAATAGAAATACTAAACATACATATTATAAATTAGTTCATTTAATTCCTTTGATATTTAAAAACTGAATCTGTTGAAGGTGGATACATGGTTCCTATACAGTTTTTCTCTTCTCATTTAAATTATAAAGCACTACTTTAAAAGTAGATATATGATTATACTGAATCTCATTATATGTTCTATGAACAGCTGTTCAGCTATATTTTTACCAATCATCAGAGTGAAATTATCTTTACAGGAACTCAACCCTGATCCAAATGATATTGATGATGAGGAGGATCATATCTACCAAGATGCAGAAGATGAAATGGAGGAAGCAGAGTATGTTGTACACGAAAGAGGTGGTGGAGATGCAGGTATATACTTTTCATTTCTGTAATTTATTATAAATAGATTTGTGTCCGGAGAATGGCTATTATAAAAAAATTCTGAATTTTTTGATGATCCAGACGTGGTGGGCTGCTACACTACTAAAAAAAATTAAGAGATTAAGAAAAAAATCAAAATTTTTTGGTGATTTTTCACATGCTGTATTTTGGTGAAAAATGATCGTAACGTTACCTTAAGAAAAGCTGTTAGGGATATTTGGTTGACTTTATTCAAAGGCTACTGAGCGAGGGCCGTGGCAAATGCTTGTTCCGGAAGTCGTTGTATCCAGTATACAACTTCTTCCCGTCCAAGTGATTGCGCACGCGTTAAGGAATACCTCAGTACCGATTGCCGGGTGGCGGTACAAGTCCGCCAACGGGCCACTTTAGGTCTATTCAACATCACTAACACGTAAAAAGAAGGTGGTAGACAAGGACCAGTCGACCGAGGCAGTACCACCCGCTAGCTTTTCCCAGGGTGTCTTATAAATGTCCGCATGTTTCCACACCTAAGCTATGCAGTCGGTTATCTACCAAAACAAAGAAATTAATGATGATGGATCCCTCGAGCACTAAAAACTCCGGACGTAAACTCACTCCACTCTCGGAATGTCCGGGTGGAGGGTGGGCTCGAGGGAACAACATCGAAGATAAAATTTGTTTTTCGAACATCTGCGGGATCAACAGCAACATTGATGCTGTTCATCACTACCTGCAATCCAATCGTCCCGCCGTGCTTTTCTTGGCGGAGACAAAAATCTCAGAGGCTGCACCGATTAACCATCTCAACTTCCCAAACTACGAGGTGCACTCCAATCTGAGAAAGAACGGGGGAGTTGTGGCTTTTGTCCGCAGCAGTCTTTCCTGCTCCAGGGATCTTTCTTTGGAATCAGACCGGAAGGACATTCTGTGGCTTCGCCTCAACTCCAAAACATCACCCAAATTTATTTGCTGCCTTTATCGCTCTCCCTCGAACCATAACTGGGATGACCTACTCGAATACCTCGCCGTCCAGATCGACTTCCTGAACATCAATCACCCCGCTTCAGAGGTAGTTCTTCTCGGTGATTTCAATGCCCATAATGAGCTTTGGTTGGGCTCAAACAAGACCGATGCAGCAGGTCGTGCAGTCGAAGCGTTCGCTCTTACTCAAGGGCTGACCCAGCTGGTGACGAGCCCTACTTTTTTCCCCCGCGTCTCGTCACACGCCAGTAGCCTGCTAGATCTCTTTCTGACCACGCATCCTGCCCCTTACAGCACTGCCGTCCTGTCCCCCCTGGGTAACTCAGATCACGGTGTTGTGGAGGTTAGGTTTCGGTCAGAAGCCGCTGTGGCCGCAGAAACTCGCACAGGCCGCAAAACTTGGCATTACGGACATGCCGACTGGGAGGGGCTCAGAGACTTCTTCTCTAGCTTTCCTTGGAGAGATGTCTGTTTCACTGACGCGGATGCGTCGACTGTCTGTTCTTCAATAACCGAAATTATCCACGTCGGAATGGAGGAATACATCCCTCACACAGTGAAAGTTCCTAAACCAGGGTCCAACGGCTGGTTCAACAAATCGTGTGACACTGCTCGCCAGCAGAAGATCAAGGCCCACAGAACCTACTTACAAAACCCCACTGTAGAGAACAGACAAGCCGACGTCGAGTCCAGAAACAAATATAACGAAGCGGTTCGCAATGCCAAAACCCAGCATGATATAAAAGTTAGGCACAGGGTAATGTCGCAGCGCAATGGCAGTCGGTCTTTCTGGACGCTGGCCAAGCAGATTGAAGAGAACTTCTCACACAGTAGCCTTCCACCACTTACGTGTCAGGATGGAACTATTGTATTCGACTCAAAGGCCAAGGCAGAAGTGCTAGCCAAGATCTTTGCTGCCAACTCCACCATGGACGTCCCCACCAACGCCCAAGTGCCGTCAATTCAAAGGGTTCCCCACACTATGCGGGAGGTAACATTCAGGCATAAGACCGTAAGACGAGTGCTCTTGTCGCTCGACATCAACAAAGCTTCTGGTCCGGACTTGATTCCTGCCATTGTACTGAAGAGATGTGCAGCTGAGCTTGCTCCAGTTCTTTCGCGTCTCTTCCAGACATCTTATGAATCCGGCACCTTCCCAGAAAACTGGAAATTTGCTCATGTACAGCCCATCCCAAAAAAAGGATCTAAAACCGACCCTTACAACTACAGGCCTATAGCTCTGCTTTCTGTTATAAGTAAAGTGATGGAGAGGTGCATAAATCGCGAGCTTCTGGACTACCTCGAACGTCACAGCTTGATTAGCGACAGGCAGTACGGTTTCCGGCACCAACGATCCACAGGGGACCTCCTAGCTTACGTCACGCAACTGTGGAGTAAACTCATCCAGTCTCATGGTGAGGCTCATGTCGTTGCTCTTGACATCACGAAAGCGTTCGATCAGCTGTGGCACGCTGCCCTCTTAAGCAAACTTCCATCCTACGGCCTCCCAGAAAAGCTCTGCAGATGGGTGGCTGACTTTATCTCTGGCCGCAAGATATCCGTCGTAATTGACGGATTCTCCTCTTCATCCCACAACGTCAACGCGGGTGTTCCCCAGGGATCGGTCTTGGCTCCAACACTGTTTCTCTTACATATCAACGACCTCCTTTCCTGCACGATCAACCCAATCCACAGCTTCGCTGATGACAGCACTCTACATGCAGGAATTCAGAGTGACAAGCCGATCTCTGCCGCTGAGCTGGAAAAAAGAAGACTAGCGACGACTTCTTCTCTGACAAGAGACCTGGAGGCTATCACTGCTTGGGGACGCAACAATCTTGTACAGTTCAATGCTTCCAAAACACAGTACTGTACCTTGACGAACAAAAAGCGACCTAGCGCTCATACAGTTTCGATGGACGGTCGAGTTCTACCAAAGAGCCACTCATTTCGGCTGGTCGGAGTCCAGATCACCGAGGACCTGATCTGGCACGAACACATCTCTTCAATAGCTGCAGCTGCTGGGAAAAAGCTGGGCTATTTGTTTAGGGCTAAGAAGTACTTTTCTCCGCATGACCTTCTCACTCTATACAAGGCCCAGATAAGGCCTAGCCTCGAGTATTGCTCACACATTTGGGGTGCTGCCGCCCCGACTACATTGTCCATGCTCGATGCTATCCAGAGGAGGGCGGTCCGACTGATCGATGACTCTTCTCTAACAGACAGTCTCGGGACTCTTTCGCACCGGCGGGCCGTCGGCGATCTAGCTCTTTTCTATCGCTACACCAACGGGCTTTGCTCCTCAGAGCTCTCTTCCATGATGCCGCCGCGCGATGCGCCTGCCAGACAGACCCGCCTGACTTCGGCGTCCCATCCTAACCGTGTCAAACTTTGTACATCCAGAACTGGCCGATACGACCGCTCCTTTGTCCCGAGGGTGTCTAGATTGTGGAACAATCTACGGGAGGAAGCTTTTCCCAGTTCTACTAACCTTAGGCAGTTCAAAAATCGTATTAACAAAATTTCTTTGGGATCATCATAGCAGCCGCGGTGTTCCGGCATTTAGGCTTCTGCCTGCGCGGCTGTTTCGATATAAAAAAAAAAAAAAAAAAAAAAAAAAAAAAGGCAAGTCTGAGTTGTCGCTTGCCTGCCCCGCGCACGTGCGCTGCTGGGACAGTGACAGGAAGAGAGATGCTAGCTCAGTTAGACCATGCAGATACGCCGCAACCCGCATACCGTGATAACATATTCACGCCGCAACCGCATACATACAGTACATACCACGTGTCTACACAGTAAACGCATATACTCAGAAACCGCATATACGCAGCAAACGCATAGAGTCAGAACCGCTCCCGCACCCGCAATCTTCACGCTCCTGCATCACCGCTACGCCAGGAATACGAACCAGAATTAGACACAATACCGGATCAAAGGTAGGCGCCAACCACATTTCATTCTTGAAACAGCCGCTATACAGTCCATTCGAATACTCTAACAAAAGCATTTTGGAGCTTCAAGATGCTAGTTTTCAGGTTTCTAGCAGAAAAATTTTAGGAGCAACGATTCTGATGCAATTCTAACAGGTAGCGGAAGAAATGTTTGTTTTAAGAATTTTTGCCGCCTGTTCACTGTCTTTTTTTCTTCTGTTAGGCAATCATATAGATCAGATAGCCCGTTTATTCAGCTTCAGTATACTTCCCTCATATAAGATTTAATTGATCTTCGAGTTATTTTTTTTGTTCATAGTGTTTGCACTTTTTGCCTTGTTTTGGAAAATCGACCGCTCTTTGGGACTGCTAATGTTTTTAGGTTTTTCTATCCCTCAATGTACCCCTAATAACCCTGCACGACGGCAGCTCGATTCATTGTACTGCTTCTCCGGACCGACAGATTCCTAAATCTGCATTTGAGACCCCCAAAAAAATATTTTCTAGATCTGCCTCTTGTCAGTATTTTTGTTTTTTTTTGGAATGTTCCATATATAAAGGAATAACGTTTTTTCAATTGCTTTTTTTTTAAACATTGGAGATGTTACTGATATCCAATAGTAACAACAAAAGACGGAAAATGTTGGTCCTTTGATTTCTTTCAAATTTTGACCAATCGGCCTGGAGAAACCGTACAATCAATCGATCTGCCTTCGCCTACGGGTACATTGAGGTATAAAAACCTTAAAAAAATAGGCTCCTCATTAGCAGTCCCAAAAATGCGGACGATTTTCCAAAACAAGGCAATAAGTAACTTTTTTTTACAAAACTTTTTCATTCAAAGCCAGATAACTTCATGCCAAATGATCGTATTGAGATTTAAAAACAGGCTAATGAAGCTGATTAAACGGACTATCTGATCCATGACTTAACAGAAAAGAATCGTTTCAATCCCGTGGACTGAAAAGAAGGCAAACGTTTTGGAAAAATCTGTTAGAATTGCATGAGAACCGTTGTTCCTAAAAGTCTCTGGCTAAAAATGAAAACTAGAATCTTGAAGCCCCAAAATACTTTTTTAAAGCAATGATATTACCATTTTTCACCAAAATGAAGCTTGTCAAAAGTTACCAAAATATTTGGATTTTTTCTTGTTCCCTTGATTTTTTTGAGTAGAGTATATGAATTTGTAAAATTGCTTTGTTTTGAAAGTACTGGTTCAGGATCCTCTAAAAGGGTGCTTATAAAGAGTATTAAAAAAGTAGGTGGCCAAACTTCAAGAGGTGATTCGTTAATTGATTCTAAAAAGAATGATTTATATAAACATAGGCCTGATAACGCGCTAGTTCAAGATACAGAGGGTCAAAGTTTATTTGAAAATTCGTTCGTTAAATTAGTATTGCCGTAAATTGAATCTAATAAGAAAAATGAAACCAAACCCTTGACATAAAAATACGTATAGAAATGACAAAATTGATTAAGTGATTTAAACGGAGATGAGAATGTGTTTTGAATGAGTGCTATAGGTGTATTTTAAAAAAAATATGTACACAAATCGTGTAAAGTGTTATTACGATTCGAGTCACACGAATTTCTGAAAAAATAGACCCAGAGTATGTCATTCTGAATCTTGGAAACGCGGCATTAACGGAACAATGTTCTTATGAACTGTTCCTCTTAAATAGTTTAATCATAGCAAATTTGTGTTTAGTTCAATTGTAATGTTTAGTTTTATTCATGCGATTTTTTCAGGGCAGTATTTAAAACATGGGCGTATAAGATGGGTAGATAAATTTTTATATGTAAACTTTTTATTCAACATCAAAAAATGAGAAACGTTAATTCGTGAAAGATACAAAACTGAAACTTTTAATAATATATGCAGAAGTAATACTGAGAATTTTGCCTAATTTTTCAGATGGACAGTTTGGTGCAATTGGTTTATATTTGTCTGTTTTTTCGCTTTCTCGAGCTGGTATTTCTGTTTGAACCTACAGTGGGTTTAATTGTACGAGGTTCGGAAACTGAACGTTTACTATATTAGAACTTTTAGAATAAAAATCCAGGGAATTATATTTCTTTAAAAAAGCATCAGTATTATGTGATCTACTTATTCAACAAAGTCATGTAGCCATCATTTTCAGCACACGCTGTATCCTAACTGGGCTAATACAGTTTGAAACATAATTTTCTTCAGTTTGCGTGCACATTTTTCAAACAATTCAGTGCATGAATGGCATTTTAAGGCTCATCTTTCCTGGTGTACTCATTTTATGAGCCCATGTGTTGAATGCCACTCTGAACAACTTGCATCAACAAAACCAGACATTGCAGTTATTTCAGCAAACCATGGGATTTTTCGCCCAATATGATGATAACAAAATCGCCCAAAGAATTACCAGTTGAAGTTTGGCCAGATAATTCATCCGGTGCAACAGACTTTTTTGTCACTTAACTTTGTCATTTTTAAAATGTTCTGAATCTCCTTTGACTGATGACTTTGTCTACTTAGTCTGGTCTTGAGAGAGTTTCTAAAACACAGAAAACTTCCTACTTATTAGAATCATGCAGCGTTGACAAGCAGTAGATACAGTGAGTTGAATTATGTATATATAATTGTTTTTCAGATATTGATGACTTGTCACATAGGATTCAAAATAGTTCTGTTTCTGTTAACTATAACTATAGTAATGGTGATAATGATGAAGAAGAGTTCCAAGATGCTGATTAGGTTGAAGTACTTATCTAAGGCTTTAGTTGTAATTTTTTTACTTAAATAAATACCATTCATTCATTTTAATACTATTTCATGATTTATGCTATTTTCTTGAATTTTTACTTCCTACAGCAGGCACCAATGGTTAGTCTGTCTACATCACAGTCTGTGTGTACCGTAATCTTTGGTCCCCTCTATTACTTGAAAGGTACTTGCAACAAAAATTGATTTAAGGGCAGCTAAGTACGAGCAAGTCAAGCAATTCCAGAACATCCCCAACTGAGCTTTCGTTTTTCATGATTTTTTTTTCATTTTTGGACGTGATGGAAATAAAAGGCTATTCGGAAATTTTCTAAACTTTAAGAAGTAGAATAAATGTCATTTGAAAAACCTCATGTCACACAATTTTTTTTCTAGAATCGTTTCAGCGAGCAAAACATTCACGTTTATCAATTTTTTTATAGCTTATTACTGAAAATTACACTTAAACCATGACGTCTCAATGTGAAAGCATTTTCAGCAAAAAGAAAAATATAGACATATAAGTGGTTTTTGGCACCATCAGTTCTGTATTCTTGGGCCCCAAACCTTTTGAAGTAACACAATTCTCATTTGATAAGTTAGTCACTTCTCAAGAACACCAATTTCTTTAGCGTAGCTTCAAAGAATACAGCGTCAGATGTACAAAACGTATTTATAAATAATTTGAATTTAGAATCATATATGAAAGTTTGGGAAGAAGTGAGTCAATCTATAACTCAACTCAACTCAATTTTAGATTGTCAGAACCAACAATTCTATTGTTTTTAATATCGGATGTTTGACCTTCCGGGTATTTACTAATATTTCCCTTTGTTATCCTAACAAGTTACTAAAATCCTACGGGACATCAAAAGGATCCTGTTACTACAATTTTAAAACACGTTTTCATAGAGTGCAAATATAGGTATTTAAAATGTTTTGTTTTTTCTAATTCATACTGCTTTTTTATATTGTCTACGTACAGGGTGTTCCATACTTAAATGTACATAGTCAAATCGTAGGCATATGGACCGAAATCTTTTCATATCTGAAAATAAAAAATTCTAAAAATTCCATTTCTATGGATGTACATTTATCTAAACACGCTAAATCTTTAATATTACGTATATCTGAGGCATTATTGATCCGATTTTGTTGAAATGGTGCACGATAACGTAAGTTACTTAAGCGGCCTACGCACCTTGATGTACGCTGCGATGCAGGCATCGCCTTTATGTTTCAAGACGCAAATAGCAGTGTGTGTAGTACTGAATCTCGTATTTGGCATCAGTTGCGGCTTTCAGCGATGCAGAGTCTGGAATCCCATTTTGGTCGGCGAGCTACGACACCGAGTTGCTGATGCTGTTGCACATTTTAGCGTGTATGGAATTGCGTCGATGCCAAAGACGATATTTATTTTCCCGCGTCATTTTAGAGGTACGTTTGTTGTTTGTGTGTGTAAATTCCATGATGGAGAGTGATCGAGAATTTTGGGAAGAGTTTATAAACATTCATCATCTACATACGTGTCTTTAGGATACAAAGGCTAAAGAGTATTCAGAAAGAAACATAGGTTTTAGAAATAACTTCTCCCTACTGATCTTGTGTTGCATGAAACATCGAGTCGAGTCAGGCATCACAACAGGTTTCGATTTGAGTAGGTACGTATGCAACTGATGCAAGTTTCACGAAACGTTGAGTCGATTCAGGCATGGCATCATACAGCAAGGTGTGTAGGCCGCTTTAGGAGTAGCGTAAAATTAGACGGACGGACAAAAAACCAGGGCTGGACTCGATTTTTGTTTCACTTTTCTGTATTTATTAAAATCAACATCTTTCAAGCTGAATGTTGGAATGTTTGACTATGTACAAAAAAATCACTGATTGATGCTCGTTAATTAGCAAAATAAATTGCACCTCTTTTAGTAGTTCAAATATCTTATTTTTACCTGTTTATATAACACAAAAATCAAAATTTCAATGGTAATCAACATGGTTTCAACATGTTACAAAATAATGCTTACAATTGAATTAAAGATCTTTTGAGAACTCTAAATTCTATGGTCGGATTCCGTTTTTTTTTTTTAATTTCTTGTTTCATTGAGTGTAACTCTATGTAAGTTATACTATGAATCTATTATTATTTCACAGAAAAACAGTAATACATGATATAAATAAAATGGGAGATTAATGTTATGTGTCCTATTCAATTTCTTCAGTGAATTAATTCTACCAATGGATGTTATACAAAATGGGTCCTGCTTTAAAGGTAAATGACATTTAATGTGCAAATGCACTGAATTTGACTTTGCAAGGGATCGACTATCATACGAATATTTGGCAAGGAATAATTTAAACACAAATATTACATAGTCCGAATTCTGCGTTAGTCCAGTTTTTATTAAATGTGGATATCTACAGACGAAAACAGGAAGAAGTAAAAATCGTCCATACTTTTGTTTTTTGACGTTTCAAATACCTACCTGTTTATTTTCGAAAAATATATGAGTGGTAGACAGTACCAGCGCTGAACCGATATTGTGGTTCGGAGGTATCCGCCGAGTAAGCGCAACGAAGATAGAATATGAACCTGTCGCAGTTTTACACCCCGGCACAACAAAGATGCAGCGCAGCAAAGCGGTAGCCGACTAAGCGTTGCAATAGCTATGGGCCATTCGGCCATAAAACTACGAACAAGTGCAGGATTCGACAGGATAGAACTCAGGCATGGCCGACACCGGCAGCTGCTGTTCATATTCGGTGCATACATAGCGTGTGTTTATACGTTAGCATGTCGGCTATGGATACAGCTGATGAAACTGAGAATATTTCTCTCAGTGCTTCCTGCAGCCATGCTTCCTCTTCACTGATGTTCGTCCCCAAAGACGTGACAAGAAGGGACATTTGAATATTCAGGCAAAAGAATTGGTCCTTAACGTTTATAAGAGCGAAATTTTAGAGAATCCTGAAATGAAAATTCATGATATTGTCGCGAACAAAACAGGCTTATGTCCTAAGACAATTTACAACATTGTTGAAGAATATAAAAAACAAAAAATTGTCTCCACCAAACAAGAGGCTGCATAACACGAAGCTGTTGGATACAGTTGATAACTTTGTTCGGAATGCTATCAGACGCAAAGGCCATCAATTTTTTGTAAGGCAGGAACTTCTCACCAAAGACAAAGTATTACAGAAGGTTAACAGTGATGAAGACTCACCTACTTCCAAAAGGACCACGTTCTATAGTTTATTCAAAGAACTTCATTTTGAGTATAGAAAACGGGGCAGAAATAGAATTTTGATGGACAGAAAGGGATTATTTCATGGAGAAGAAATTATTTAAAATCAATAAAGAAATACCGCTACCAGAGCAGGAACATTTATTACTTGGATGAAACCTGGATAAATGCAGGCCATACAAAACCGAAAGTATGGGTTGAGAACAATGAAATCAGATGGACTAACCACTGGCCTAAAGAATCCGTCAGTGACGTGTATCTAACCAATTCGTCATTTGTGTTGTAAAAATGGTGTTAAGTAGACTGAATCTATGAGCCCACGCTGAAAACTTAGCTATATCTGGTAAATTTGCAGCCAACACGTGTTAGAGACTCGGCTTGTATTATTATTAGTTAATGATTAAAATAATATATCGAATGAAAAAAAAAAACAGGCTCAGAGAGTAAAACATTAGAGCTATTTTAGATAACAAAAACTATAGATGACTTTAAATAACAACGCAACAATTAACACAATCCCATACTGCATCAAAAAAAGAGAAAAAGAAAGATCAAGGTAAAACCAAAAATTCCCACCGTTATGGCAACATACCTAACCAAGTAACCTCTTTTTCACACTCCTCTTAAAGTTAGCTATAGAAAACGCTTTGAGGTTATCAGATACGTCATTGTATATTTTGATTGAATTATATATAAATGAACGACGGAATAGTGTCGTATTGTTTAGTGGAATTTCAGGTCGTTTTTTGAATCTGAAATTGATATCATTTCTTCCGCGAAGCAATAATTTCCTATATAAGTAAGGGGGAGACTGTGAAGTTATTATTTTATGTATCATAGTATCAACTAAGTATCTATACATATCGTCTATTCTCAACCATTTTAGCTCAATTATTTTTCCCAACTTTGAATCATACTTTTTAAGATTGTAGATAGATCTGCAACAGGTATTTTGAAACTTTTGTAACCTATTTTTCGATTCAGCATCCAGACATGGATAGTAAATAGTACCTAATGTTATAAGCAATAATAGGGAATACCAGAGATTCACATGATTTTTTCCGTGTTTTAAAATTCATAAAATGCTTATTACAGTAAAATCGTTTCAAAATGAAGCAGCATTCTTTTAATGTAACGGATAGATGTGCATTGAACCGCAGGGAGCTACCAAACGTTAAACCTAAATTTTTAGCTGAATCCACTGATGGCAATGAAACTCCACCAATTTTTATATCAATTTAATTATCACGACTATTGTTTGTACAAAAAAGCATAACAGAAGAATTGTTTACTTTTCAGAAACGGAGGTACGGATGTATAGGTATAACAAATTAAGTGTAATTCTTGTGGCTCTTTAATCCTCAACCAGTCCATACCTTTTATAAAAGAGCTGATGTGATCATACTTTCTTAAGTTGTTGACCAATCTGCAACAAGAATTTTGAATTTTTTAAGGAAGGTAAACTAGAGGGTCTACCAATAAGAATTATATAAGTTCAAATTGCTAAAAAATTAAACGAAAACATAAATTTCTATGATTGATGTTTTATCTCGTAGTCTATTACGTAACATTATGTTTTGAATAAGATATCATCAAGATGCTCAACTCGGCTGCGGCGGCAGATGTTTAGACGATAAACCCAATTTTCAATGACTTTCCAACAAGTTGGGCTGAATTTCGCGAATAACTCGGCTGATGTTAACTTTCAAATCGTAGGTGGTTTGAGGATTGTTAGTGTACGCCTTCGACTTCACGTATCCCCAAAGAAAAAAGGCCAGGACTTTGGTGGCCAGTTGATATGATCATGTCGCGAAATTATTCGATCCTCAATGCCCCCCTGCGTCATCAAAAAAATAGGGACCGATAATTCCACCGACATGCAAACCACACCACAGAGTCACTTTTATCGGGTATAATGGCCTTTCGACTTATTTCTGTGGATAGTTTTGACACCAGAAGTGGCAATTTTACGTATTGACAACGCCACTAAGCCAAAAATGCGCCTCGTTTGAAAATATAATTTGTTTACCAAAATCGACATTTTGTTCCAACTGCAACAGGGCCCAGTCGGTAAACGTTCTTCGCAAACCATGATCGGCAGGCTTCAGTTCTGGTTTTAGAACCATTTTATATGGATGTAGGCCAAAATCCTTCTTCAAAATGCGCCACATTGACATCAGTGAAAGGCCTAAGCTGAGAACGACGCAGAACAGACACATTCGCGTTGACACTTTTGCAGCCGCGATATTTTCAGCGCTCCTTGCATTTCTTAGTCGCGTTGGTGGCTTACTATTCAGGAAGTTGCACTCCCGCTCAAACTTATCAACTGTGCACCTTATTGCAAGCTCAGAAGGCCGTCCACGTTGGCCAAAATCTTCTCGAGAACTCATATTGGTAGACCCTGTATATCACAGCAGGTGATTAAGATACTTAGCGAGTCACACCAGTTTTGTTTAGTTTTATAGTTAAGAAATTGTTTATGGAGGTATAATTTGCGAAGAATGGAGAAACAACTCTTACTCACATTGTTCACGTGTGGTATAAACTTAAAACTTTCATCAAAAGTAATATCCAAATTTTTTACCAATTCATTTCCCTCAGTAGTGGAACCATTAGGCTTATATTAAAATTCTTTCAATAATGTTTCTAAAAGGTTTTGGTGAAAAAATGATTTTTGATTTTGGGGGGCTTAACTGAAGGTTTTGACTATTTGCATACTCTCTAATAGATTCAAGATCCCCATTGGCCTTCAATTTGGCTTTCGAAAATCATCAGCAAAGAACTGAATTCAACATTACCAAACAGCGTTTTGCAAGAGCAAAATATAAAGCACAATTGATAGTTACTCACAAACCAATGCAACATCATAATGTGGCGCATGCCAATGGCGTTGTGTTCACGCCATGTCATTTCATTTGATTTCCAATACATCGAAGACAGCCTGATGGAAGATTTGAAACATCAGAAATTAGAAGTCATGCAGAAGGGGATAGAGGTGGAAGAAAAATACTTGTTTCTTTGTCATGTAGTTCATTTCAAAACAGTAAACCAAACAAAATCAAACCGTTCTTCTGATAAGTGTTAGAAACGCTACTATAACAGATCTAATGGTTTTCAGTATTCTTTAAAGCTTTTCTTGTTAGAAGAGCATCTGTGAGAATCAGTACGTTAGTAACTCGAACTGATCTTCTAATCGTACGTACAATCTTTTGTTTCACATAGAAAAACGTCAAAATGATTATCAAAAAGCAGATAAGCCAAATTCCAGTAATTCTGCTTAGGATATTCAACTATCTAACTCTCTTTGGCCCAAATATCAAATCAGCATCAGGTGCCCCTTTGGGATGCTGGTATTTCTTCCTTTCTCTGTTCAGATTTTGTGTAATTGGTCTATTTTGCTGTTGGATCATCTCTTGGTAATCTTCTTCTTCAAAACGCTCTGTGATATTCAACGTGAGACGTTTAACTTTCTCTTTCTCTTCTTTTTGCATTTGCTCTTGATCTCGAAGGTTTTGTGCCAATTCGGAATCTACTGGAGCTTCAAATTGTTTGTATTGCTGCTTGTTTCCCTTACGAACCATTAATACAAAGTCTATTTTAGCTTCTTTATCTTCGGGCGTTGAATCCTGGAAATTATCAAACAACATACACTATCATTCAAAAAGTTTCCGCACCCATGATGGTCGATGATTAAGGATGAAAAAAGAAATAGAAGCTGGATCATATAGCGGGAATATAACGAAATATTAAGCCATCAGTTTCTTTATTTTACTCCCTTGTCTGATATGTAAGTCAAAAAATGACTGTAAACACACTGTTTTATGACTGAGAAGAGGAGAATTTCTTGGTTTGCAATTGTGGTCCAATTATTTTTGAACAAACAGTTTTTACACAGTTCAGTTTAGTCGTTGTTTTGGTTGCATAATGAGTCATGGCCCGATAGTCTTCTACCAGTGGAAATCACTAGGTTAGCAAAAAGCTTGTGATTTCATGTTCCTTTAACCCTTTCACTGCTGAGTTGGTTTTAAAAGATGTGCTCTCTGTGCTGAGCGGACAGTCTAAGCGTCTACGGTCGTTTCCCGTAGTTTAATCCAAAATCAACATGAGATAATGAGAGTGAACTTAACTTATTTATTAATTTTTATATAATATATTTGACCTGTAGATATATTTAAAAAATAAACTGTACATCATGTAGCAATATTTTTATTATGAAACATTGTTATACAGAACTAGAAGCTATGTAAAAAATGTACTACTCAAATCTGAAGTATTTAGTTATAAATATTAACTTAATACTTTAATATAGTGTGATATCGCTCAAAACAATTTACAATGCAAAGAGGAACATCACACCTTTTGCATGCATAACTTGTTTGTTTCCTTACTTTCGGCTTGGCACAGACTATGCATCTTTTGGATATTGGCTTGTTTTTTTTTTGTCTGAATGTATACCCATTCAAAGAAAATGTCGCACGATTAGACGTAACGGTGAATGGTCGGATTCTGGTTTATGCCTTGTAGATGCTTTTGGTTTTACCTTGTGATGTCTTTATAATAATTCCTTTACAAGACATTTCTGAAAGTCCATGGAGGCATATATGTTTACCAGTTAAAACTTTATACAGGGTGTTTCTTACATGAACCGACAAAAGAATATGGGTAATTGGGGACGCTATTTGATGATTTTTGGTGGAAACCGTAATGCTCTAAGGGATACGGTTTACGAGATATGATTTTTTTCGTTTTTTTTTTGCTGAATTACCTACAATGGCGCAGAACTATCGTGATAACTTTTTTGTTTGTCGAGATAATAACACAAGATAAATTCGAGTCGATTCTGTATAGCATGCTGAATCAGATGAGATCAATGGTTTGTTCAAAGCTTCTTCAGAAAATGACTTATGACCTTCGAAAATCTTTAAAATAGCCCAGAGTGAATAAACAATTTCAAATTCAAAATTCTAGTACAAAAAACCTGTACCTTTTTGTAAGTAAATAATATTTTCACCAAAAGGATGCGCAAATATTGCTTGTGCTGTATTTGTCTTTCCTATCATTATTTCAAGCACATATTATAGTATATAGAAACATAAACAATAATCGTTTATATTAAAATGTTATTTCTTTTTCTGACCCTCCTTTCATTTCTTTTCTCAGTTCTAAGTATCAAGTGTCCAGAAAATTTTAAACGAGAGTGTATAACAGTCGAGACGCAATATTTTAAGCTTCGTATCTTATCACTAAACTGTTGATAATCTAGTCATTTGAAGTAAATGACAAGTTTATTGCTTTGGTTATCTATCCTTGGTGGATACAAAAAAAATTAATACAGAATGTATTCTACCTGCAGCTGTTCATATGTCTTCTTGACGCCTGACTTTAATATAACAGGTACTGATATGTCAACATTGGTGGCTTTAACAGGCTCTTTCATTCTCTCTTGGATATTCTCGGAAACCATTTTTTCCAAAGCATTCAAGAAATCTGAATCTTCTTGGCACTCTACTTTTTTGGGACCTTTTGGAATAGCCACAGATTCAGATATGCCATCTTGTTCAGTCTCACTAGTTAACTGGTCAACTACAAAATTCCAATTAATGTACAATAATAATAATTTAATGAAAATTGAAAGCAGTTTTATGGGTAAATTACTGAATAAACTCGTGGCTTAGCAAATACTAATAATTTTGTTTTTTTTTTAAGATCCTATATCTAGTATACAGGGTGTTGATTTGGAAACTTCCCACCACGGATTTATCGAAAACCACTGATTAAATGAAACGTTAAAAGTTGTGTCAAGAGCGACATCTTTTTAATCAAAAACTACTTCACTCCCTTTCACCCTCTGCCCCCCAGGGTATCCCCTTAAAAATTATGAATGACACGGGGTATCGAGTAATAGTTTGTTTGAAAGATATTTCGAAGTCTTTTATTTTGGCGTTTGATTTTTTAAAATCGGTCGATTCGTATTCACGAATATTAGAAAAATCTGTATTTATCTTAATTTGTTCAAATAGAAAACGAAAACACACGAAAATATCACTTTTTATTTCAATAAGTGTTCAAAATGTTGCCCGTTATTGACCAAACAATAATATAGGCGATATTCAAATTCCTGATGGACATTTTCAAAAACATGTTGTGGGATATCGTGACAGCTTTTGATGATGCGTTGACTAAGTTCATCCAAACTTTCAGGGTGGGGAGTAAACACAATATATTTCAAATGGTCCCATAGAAAAAAGCCTAATGGAGTCAAATCAGGAGATCTAGCAGGCCATTCTATAGGCCCTCTTCGCCCTATCCATTTATCTGGAAACTCGTCGTCTAGCCATTGCCGAACCGGAAGAACATAGTGAGGAGAAGCGCCATCTTGCTCGAATATATATTTCAGCCTCATCAAGTATAGGATTTCCATCTTCTTTGATTTGGTTTTCAAAAGTTTCAGTGATACGCGGATTGATGGTATTTTCCAACAAATCCAAATAAATGTCTTCATTCAAATTTCCATTACTAATCAATGGCCCAATCACTTTGTTACCTAAAATGCTTTCCCATGCATTAATTTTTTGGGGGTCCCGGGTATGCCCTTCTACAAAAGCATAAGGATTTTCATTTTCACCCTGCAGTTATGCTTATTAACAAATCCATTTAGATAAAATGTGCATTCATCACGGAAGCAGATATTTACATAAATGGTATTATCATTAATCTCCGCAGTCATTTGTTCACAAAACTCAACTCGCCTATCAAAATCATCTTCGGTTAACTCTTCCAATATTTTCATTTTGAATTGATGAAATTCATGGAGTTTAGTAACTGTGTGTACAGAGCCTAATGAAATACCAGTCGCAGCAACAATTTTGTGAATGATTATTAGGATTTATTCCAAAATAAACCAAAACTTCAACTTGAGCGGCATAATCCAAAACTCTCCGATGATCACTTTTTTATTTGCAACAGATCCAGTTTGAGTGAATTTAGTAACAAGGTCCAAAACATAACTATGCGAAGTTATATTCTCCGGATGTCTGGCGTTAAACGTTACGGCAGTTTGCCGAGCACGTTGATTTTGGGCACCATAAATTGGAATCATTTCCACTCTTTCGGCTAGTGTGTAAACCATTTTGGAAGTAAAATCTGAATAAATAAATTAATTTTCACTATCCAAAGATTGTCTCACAAAGGTAACTGACAGCAAATTAAATTCTTTCTTTCCCTTAGCAACAAATAACCAAATAACTAAACAGGTATAACAATAAATACAGTTCACCGAGGACATCTGTGTTGATGAAAAGAATGCGGAAAAATTCTGGTTGTTATTTGGTTGTTGACACGTCTAATCTTCTGAATTCCTGTTTATGTTGGTAGTTTCCGTTTTAAATTATAAACGAATTGTAGATTTGGCAAACCCTAACGGGCAACATTTTGAACACTTATTGAAATAAAAAGTGATATTTTCGTGTTTTTGTTTTCTGTCTGAACAAATTAAGATAAATAAAGATTTTTCAAATTTTCTCAAAAAAGGAATTGAGTGATCTTAAAAAATTAAACGTCAAAATATAGGACTCTAAAACCTTTCAAACAAGCTATTACTCGATACCCCTTGTAATTTAATGTTTTTAAGGAAATGACCCTGGAGCCGAGGGTGAATTAGTTTTTGGCTAAAAAGTTGTCCCCCTTGACAAATCTTTTGACGTGTCTCGGCGTTTTTTCTTTTAATCAGTGGTTTTCGATAAATCCGTGGTGGAAGTTTTCAAATAAGCACCCTGTAAATTGGGTTGACCTCTCCAAAACAATATTTATATATTTGGAACATTAAGAAAAGTAAATCTGCCAGACAATCCATGTAACCAAACTGCATGCTGATCACACTTGCAACAACTGATTACCTTCGTCATCTGATGCCTGGGTATGATCTACGGTTTCATCCTCGGTGGCGGTGTCATCTGTAATAGGACCAGTTACACATTCTGAATTTTCTTCATCACCTGCTTCTTCATTATCTGTTTCTGTAATCGTATCCAAGCCTTCTTCTGAGTTCACTTTATTATCCATTTCTAACAGTTTTTCTGGAAAATAAGAGCAACATATCTAAACTACAAGTTACTTGATGAATTGTCACTTTCAGTCAAAGTCACTGTATCAGTGAGCATTTATCGACCACCTGACAAGACTGGTTTGTCAATAAGCTGTGAAATTGATATCTTTTGGTTACGCCAGATCTTTTAATCAAGTCTTAAGACAAAGTGAGTGAACATCATCGAATATTTTACCATACATATTGTTTTACCGTATTTTAATAACTTACCAACTCCTAAAGTGGTTCTAATCTTTTCCAATTCTTCTAAAGCTTCCTCATAACTTTGACATTGCTTCATTTTTGGTCTCAGTGTCGTTAATGTGTCCTTGTAAATGTGTTCCAGTATAGGCGGGAATGCATCCTTCCAAAGCGATTTCTTGAACCAATAGTAAGCTTGGAGGAATACAAGATAGTAATCTAATTTTCTTTTGCTAGTTCCGCTGCTAAAATATGTACCTGAAAACACACATTAAACAAATAGCAAGATCTGAGACCAATAAGAAAAAATCATGAAAAGGTGCAGCAAAAGTTAATAAGTTTTTGTGGAATTCAGTTGCACAATGACCGCTGCGTGAAATCTCTTATCGAGAAACATTATTTTCTTGTATGAATACAGTTTTAAGAAAAAAATGGACCTGGCAATTACATTATTTTTCAATTGATACAAGATACTTACCACAAGTTTCTAATAACACACAAGCTAACCTTATCCGAAATAGGTGGTCAGGCGGATCCAAAGGTGAAGGTTCATTAGGATCCATTGATACGCCAAAAGAAATTAGAGAATATAGGACCTGAAATGTTGTTGGCGATAAATGTAGCCATAGTAAATACTACAACAACACATCAGAAAAAAAATAGTAATCTTTATATACCTTGAAGATATCTGAACTCTCCACCATTCTGTAGTTATACAGTTCTCCAAGATACTTCACTTGTGCTACACGCCGTTGGTTAAATTTTGGCAGGTTGACCTCCATTCCTAATCTAATATCTTCCAATACACCATCAACAACTTTGGTACCTACTTCTTCTTGATATGCTACCAGACCAGCCAGTAGGTTTGCCAAACACCTTAATAAGCAATGTTAGATATAGAGAATATTTGGACAAATATGTTGCAAGTCGTAGCCCAGAGAGTAATTTGTAAGGAAGACTATACAAGTGACGCTAATTATAACTAGGACAAATTAATCCTCGAGTCCTATTTTATATATATATATATGTATATACAGGGTGTCCCAGAAGTCGACGTCAAGCCGAAACCGGGTGATAGGCAAAGTCATAACAGCTATCAGAAAAATATTTAAAAAATTTTATGTATGTGTTTTGAAAATTATAGGTCTTTGAAAAAGATATAGAAATTTCACACCCTACGGCAGTCTGTCAACTCCTGTTACTCCAAATATTAACTTTTTTTGGATTTTATTTTTACAATGTAATGATGAATAATGCAACTTCAAACTGGTGTCTCAACCTTACTGCCAACTTTTCTCGTTCAGGAAAAATTGCCACTTATTTCCCAACCAAGTATTCCAAAGTAAAACTTTGCTCAACTTTAACTGCCTGTACTGAAAAAAAATGTACTACGAGAGTTTGGCAAGTAACCTTAAAAGTTGGCGAATTTAATAACGATTCCAAAATGGTATAACACTTAGAAGATTACTCGTTAACTTATGCACAATTTTTATTTGAAAAAAAAACTGATGAAAATTTTTCAAAATTTCCTAATTAAACAGCGATTATGAAAACGCACAAGGACCCTTAAGGATAACTGTTTGCACAACAGTGGGCGTCAAAATGCTGCTGATGATGATTTACCTTTACAGCAAATGCTCAGACTGTTTTCCTTCAGCCGCAATACACGCTCGATATCTTCTTAAAAAAGATCGGGTTATGAAACGAGCGAATCCACGGTTATTAACAAACTCAGCTGCTTCCAATAGTCTTTGCCGTAGCTCAGCTACATTTTGAATCGGCTTGAAATACACTTTTTATTTTACAGTTCCCCAGTAAAAAAATCTAAAGGATTCAAATCAGGTGATCAGGTTGGCTACGGTATTGTACCAGACCGCCTTATCCATCTGCCTGGAAAGTTTTGATCGAGATACTCTCTCACTGAGAGTGCATAGTGCGCTGGGCAGCCATCATGCTGAAACCACATATCCCTGTAAATACTCAGTGGCACGTCCTCCAATAAATTTTGTGCATGATTTTTCAAAAAATCCAAATAAACTTCAGCAGTCAATGTCTCTGGGAACTCAAACGGACCGATTATTTTACCATTTAAAATTCCTGTCCAATGGTTTATCTTGAAGCGATATTGAGATTTATCTTCTCTCATCAAATGTGGGTTTGCTACGTGCCACTCGTGTAAGTTATGCAGGTTCATGTACCCATCTTTCTTAAATGTGGTCTCATCTGACCATAAAACTTTTTCAAAGAACTGTGGATCTTTCCTGTGTCTTTCTAACATTGTGCGACAAAAAGCAACTCGGAGCTCATAATCCCGGGGCAGGAGAGGTTGAACACGCTGTATGTGGTATGGATGAAGCACATCACTTACTTGCTATTGCACACTTTGATACCGATCAGTACTCGTTCGTTTACTGCGTATCTTTACATGTTCGTGCTTGTTGATTTCGTACTGTTACTAATTTTGGATTCGTGAACTGGATTGTTGATCGCTCGGGATTTGGATTTGGACTCTTTAATTGCTCTTCAAAACAACATTTGCTTTCCTTAGACTATCTTTGATAGTGTGATTGTGCAATGCCGCTATGTCCGTGTACTCCGTACAAGAATATGCTAACATGCACCTCATTTATGGGGAATGCAGATGCAACGCTAGTGCTGCAGCGAGACTTTACTGTGAGAGGTACCCGAATGCAGCTCGTCATCCAGATCATCGAGTGTTCACAAATGTGCACCGCTTACTGTTCTCAGAGGGCCAACTACCAAACCAATCACACGGTGAGGGAAGATCTTTCCTTCCTTACGAAGACGAGGTGCTAGGAGCTGTCGAAGAAGACCCGAGTACTTCAGTGCGTGCAATAGAATTAAAAACAGGTGTGCCCAAAAGTACAGCCCATAGAATCTTGCAAAAAAACGTGCTCCATCCATACCACGTACAGCGTGTTCAAGCTCTTCTGCCCCGGGATTATGAGCCCCGAGTTGCTTTTTGTCGCACAATGTTAGAAAGACACAGGGAAGATCCACGGTTCTTTGAAAAAATTGTATGGTCAGATGAGACCACATTTAAGAAAGATGGGTACATGAACCTGCATAACTTACACGAGTGGCACGTAGCAAACCCACATTTGATGAGAGAAGATAAATCTCAATATCGCTTCAAGATAAAACATTGGACAGGAATTTTAAATGGTAAAATAATCGGTCCGTTTGAGTTCCCAGAGACTTTGACTGCTGAGGTTTATTTAGGTTTTTTGCAAAATCATTTAGAAAATGTATTGGAGGACGTGCCACTGAGTATTTACAGGGACATGTGGTTTTAGCATGATGGCTTCCCAGCGCACTATGCACTCTCAGTGAGAGAGTATCTCGATCAAAACTTTCCAGGCAGATGGATAGGGCGGTCTGGTACAATACCGTGGCCAGCCCGGTCCGTTATATTTTTTTTACTGGGGAACTGTAAAAGAAAAAGTGTATTTCAAGCCGATTCAAAATGTAGCTGAGCTACGGCAAAGACTATTGGAAGCAGCTGAGTTTGTTAATAACCGTGGATTCGCTCGTTTAATAACCCGATCTTTTTTAAGAAGATGTCGAGCGTGTATTGCGGCTGAAGGAAAACAGTCTGAGCATTTGCTGTAAAGGTAAATCATCATCAGCAGCATTTTGACGCCCACTGTTGTGCAAACAGTTATCCTTAAGGGTCCTTGTGCGTTTTCATAATCGCTGTTTAATTACAAAATTTTGAAAAATTTTCATCAGTTTTTCTTCAAATAAAAATTGTGCATAAGTTAACGAGTAAGCTTCTAAGTGTTATACCATTTTGGAATCCTTATTAAATGCGCCAACTTCTAAGGTTACTTGCCAAACTCTCGTAGTACATTTTTTTCCAGTACAGCCAGTTAAAGTTGAGCAAAGTTTTACTTTGGAATACTTGGTTGGGAAATAAGTGTCAATTTTTCCTGAACGAGAAAAGTTGGCAGTAAGGTTGAGACACCAGTTTGAAGATGAATTATTCATCATTACATTGTAAAAATAAAATCCAAAAAAAGTTAATATTCGTAGTAACAGGAGTTGACAGACTGCCGTAGGGTGTGAAATTTCTATATTTTTTTCAAAGACCTATAATTTTCAAAACACATACATAAAATTTTTTTAAATATTTTTCTGATAGCTGTTATGACTTTGCCTATCACCCGGTTTCGGCTTGACGTCGACTTCTGGGACACCCTGTATATATATATATAACTTGAGACGTATATATATTAGAACTACTGCGAAGGGCTACGACCTAAACACCCTTGGAGACAGGGAGGTGGTACCTTCATGTTTGACACTCTGAAACCGTCTACCACCTATGAAGTGATACACGAACTTCACTTTCCAAGAACAAAAATAAAGTCCCATGACAATGGATTTGATATTACACCTATAAGGTTAGTATTTGTATCAAATACAAATATTCTTAAAATTGGTAACTTGAAAAGTTGATAAGAAAAAAACTAAACTAAGACTATGTACCTTATGTTGAAATACTTTAAATTATGGACTGCAGTAAGACATTTTATGGAGTATGCAGACATTTCTGGACTGTTCCAATCCAACTTCCTCATCAATCTCATAATTTTTTCAGTATTGTTTTTCTGCAAATCCTACAAAGGAGAATGTTAAAATCATAATTATACATGTTGCACTGTGAAGACGGCCGAAGTGACAGAAAGGTGTTTTCATACATACTTGAAATAATATCTTCCTGATGAACTGATGTATCGGAGGTCTTTCTTTCTTCGCCACAGAAACCATTTCAGGTGGATTCACATAGTAATAAGCATTCTCTATTTGTGTTACATATCTTGAGTCTAAAGCCATCACAGACTTTTTTCGCATCATTTGTTCCAGATATACTTTTGTTCTTTGGTGGGAGTCGGGGCTACATAAAAATAAACTCTGTACTCAACAGTTTGGCATTAATGTTTGGGTTGGAGTGTTTATGAAACTGTTTTCTCAATAAATTTTATTTCTGACCGAGCGGATTTAGATTTGTTATGCGAAGTCCCACTATTCAGATCATAAACTCCTTTTACCCTCTAGGATGCTAAAGAGGGCTGCAAAGAGGAAGATATCTGTAGGAGTGCCACAAGGTTCTGTCCTAGGTATCATACTCTTTCTCATACATATTACTGATCGCCCAAATAATGGGATAATGCCCAAATATACCTTTTCTGCAGATGACACATCAATATCTCTTGCAGCTAGCTCTTTGACATGGAAGTTCAACAGGAAAAAACCAAACTCTAGTTTTATTCCAACAAGTTGTTGCTAAATGGTGAAAAGTCTAAGAAAGTTTTGTTCTCTACTAGAGAAATAAACATCCAAAATGAAGAACAATGTAAATTTTTTGGCGTGACACATGAGCCTAAGCTCCAATGGAAAAGCCACATTGATGTTCTATCCATAAAATTTTCGCAGAATATTGATGTCTTCCGCAACTTACTGCGAGAAGTGTCGCCAAATATACTTCGTGTTTTTTACTTCACACTATTTCAGTCGAACATAGCATTATTGGTTGCTGAGGCAGCTAGAGTGTTTGGGCTGCAGAGCAGACATGCTAGATTGATGGCAGCGCTAAAATACAGAGACGATTGCAAGCATGTGTTTATTGAATGGAAGCTGCTGACCATACCAAGTCTGTATGTGTATGAGTGCTTCATGTTTGCCAAGACAAAAGGGGATCTATACCAAACCTTCGAAAATGTCACAAATACCAGAAATAAGAGAAATTTGGTCCTATATATTGGAGATTTTCAACAAATTTTAAAAATAAAATCACTGCCTTTAAATGTTTTAAGGACTCGTATTAGAAATGTTTTGATCCAAAATGCTTTTTACAACATTGATGATTTTCTAAATACTGATTTTAACGTGCTGTGATTGTTCAAAATGTTTAAGTTTGATGTACCATATAAGTGGCTTTCATGCTATATGATTTTTCTTCTACGTTATGACGATTGTAAGCATTTTTTTGAATTAGCATGAATAAATAAATGAAATGAAAGTAAGCTTACCGCCCGCTATATATAAATCACCCTAGGTGAATCAAAATATGGCGCTCACAATAACTCTCGTTATCTATTCGTTGCGTCTTCGATTTTAGCTAGCCGTAAATGTATCCAGGCGTAAGAGTGTCTGTGTCTCTTGTGTTAGGACCTAAGGCGCGAACTGAATTTTTCACAGCCTTAAGATACATAAACGACTACTAAATTACTATTAGATTTCACTGGACAGTTACCTTTAACATTAATTTTAACTAACCTGCAATACAAAAATCTACCACACACTTCCAACAAATTGCACACCATCTCAATATGATGATGCGAAAAATCGTGCAGTAAAACTTTAAGACAATATAAAGCTTCTATTTTGGAATAGAGCTTAAACTTAACAAGCTCTCCTATGAAGCGCACAACCTTAATCTTCGATTCAATGTTGATTTGATCCTTCTTCCTCACATGATATTTGAAGTCTTGTCTGAGCATCTGGCACAGTTCCGCTCCTACTTCTGGCAAAGCTGGATGCAAAATTGCAACAAATCTGGCATAGAATGGAAGCAGGTCTAACCGCGTCCTGTTTCAGAGAGAAAATGTATCAAGCTAGTAACAGAAGATTCAAGGTTAATAACCACAATATAGGATCTTTCTTTGGTCATATTTTATAGAGATGGCTGCTTTGTTCCTAAGATATCCATATAGCATTTCAAGGGGTTTTATGAGCTCATTATATTCTAGTTCTCATAAAAATCGAATGTATAGAAATGTTCAAAAACTGATGACAAGAAAGTTGAAATACATGAAAACAATACTGCAAAATTTGAAAAAATGCCTTGAAAATTGATAATCCCACAGCTTATGCAATACTGGTTTTCCCATACTATTCCAGTTTATATAGGGGACAAATTAAAATGTATTTTTGAAACAATTAGCTGAACAATTTTAGCAAATCAAAAAACCTTGAGATGTTTAAATGTCCAAAAATAGAGATATAACCATTGCTTTTGAATCAAGAGGAATTCTCTAAGCATTTTATAAGGTTACTATTAAATTATGGTGTATAAAGAAAAACATTACCTATTAACACCAAATAATGCGCGCACAAGCTTTCTTCTATTATGCTTGTTGTTCAAGGTGACCAAGAAGTCAATAGCAGCATTATCAATCATTTCTCTATTGACACAATTTGGTAAATTATTCAGAAATGCCTCCAACACAATTTTATTGCTTGCTGTACTTGTAGAGGGATCTTCATTCTCTTCTTCTGCAACAGCCGCTGAAGGTTCCTCCAGCTTTCCTATATAATATTTACCTCATAAAAACATTGTTACTAACAGATTGAATACTCTTTGAGCTAAGAACATACTGCTTTGTACAATAACTTTTTAGTTCAAATTTCAACCCCCTTTGACTTATTTTGAAATGTTACTGCTGAAAGCTGATTGAAATTTGGCCTCTACAAAATGCAGCACATATACTAAGTGACATATAAATCCGAACACCCAGTTTAAATGGTTTTATTTTAATAAAATTTTGTATAAGTACTTAATGAAGCATAATAAGTAAATGATAAACATTTCAAAATGATTGCACTGCTTTAAAGCCCTTTGACCTTTAATAATGTGTGGATGCACCCTGATGTGCTACGCATTCTCCAACGCGCCTAGGCATGCTTCTGATCAGGTGGTCAATGTCCTCCTGTGGTATCTCATTCCAGGCAACCACCAACTCCTCTCGAAGTGCTTCTAGAGTCTGAGGAGGACGTTGCAAATTGGGCAATCTCCTACCCATCATATCCCACACGTGCTCAATTGGGGATAAGTCGGGAGATCTTGGTGGCCATGGTAACAATGTGACATCATTATGTTGAAAGAAGTCTATTGTGACTCTTGCAACATGTGGTCGGGCATTATCTTGTTGGAAAGTTGGATCTGCCAGGGTAAAAGATGGGGTTCTAGAACTTCGTGGATATAACGCTGCGCGTTCATGTTACCTCTGATGAAGATTAAAGGTGACTTGGAACCATAAGCTATAGCACCCCAAACTATAACTCCAACAGTGTGATGAACATGTCTTTCAACAAAAAACTGTGGATTCCTCCTTTCACCACGTCGCCTTCTAACCCTGGCACGACCATCGTGCATGCCTAAACAAAATCGAGACTCGTCACTAAAGACAATACTGTTCCATTCCTGATCCCAGAGTGACCGTTGTCTGCACCACTCAATGCGATTACGTCGGTGTTCTCGAGTTAAAGGGAGGACCCAGTGTGGCCGGTATGAAAACAAGCCAAAACTTCTCATTCGTCGGTAAACACTTCGCATGCCAATAGGTCTTCCGTGTTCTTCAAACCATTCATTTGCAATGGACCTGGTAGTGGGGAAACGGTCCCTTAAGGCCAATAATCTTAGGCGGCGATCTTCACGGTCTGTTGTTCTACGGCGGCGTCCAGTGCCCCTTGCTCTTTGCGTACGGCGTTCTCGAAGCCATGCCTGACAACACCTAACCACAGTGTCTACACTTCTTTGCACTCTAACTGCAATTGCCCGAAAAGAAAGTCCAGCTTCCCGAAGTCCCACTATACGGCCCCTATCAAACTCACTAAGTTGACGAAATCGTACAGGTCTCCGTACTCTAGGCATCGTAACCGATCGTAAAGGATGTCAAGAACCAAAATCCGCCAACGTTGATTCTTTACTGCGGCTGAAATATTCATTTTTAGAGTGTTAGTGAATTTAAAAAAAACCAGTATAAAAACCGGAATGTCCAAGTGATAAGGCTGAACATTTTTTCACTTGTTATTTACAGTAAGATAAATATATTCACCAACTTTTATTAAAATAAAACCATTTAAACTGGGTGTTCGGATTTATATGTCAGTATATTTTAGTAGGTGGATCATGAAAATCATTCAAAGTAGTGAAACTGTAATTTTGACACCTCATGTGTGATGCTTTTTGCAACATGAAATAAGACTGGATAGAAAATTTAATTTCATTAAAATAGTCCTTCCTATACAGAATGATTCATAAGAACAGAGCAATATTTTTAGAGTGGAAAGGAAATGTGTACCATCATCCTCGAGTTCTTCTGCTGGAAGCTCAGAATCGAGCACCTCTTCAGTAACAGTTTCATTAGTAGGAACATTTTGACCTTTATTTAAAAATGCAGTTGGAAGGAAAACAGTCAATTCTGGAAGGTCACAATAAAACTTCTGAGTCTCAGTATCGCACCATATATTCTCAGCATTTATTGCAAAGTCATCTATGTCTGTACCTGACCCAGTTATTATCATACTCTGAAATAATAAAAATTGTTACATGTTAATATGAATCATACATACCTAAGAATAATTGCTTCACATACATACCTCTTCACTTTTTGGCATATTTTGTGTTTTTAATTCTGGCATATCTTCATCTAAAATATCTGCAAAACTTTGAGCATTTTGCAATAATTTATCAAATGCTGACTGCATAGCTTCAAGTTTTTCCTTTCTGTCTTGACTTAGCTCTCCTTTAGTCTGTAATATTCGTAAATTTTGTTTCTCAAAGTTCTGCATTTCTTGGTGGTCCTTGACCAAATGTTTACTAATAGAGTTGAAGTACTCTCTTAACAGACCTCTCACATTTTGTTGTTTTTCTGGAGGTAGAAAAGTACCCCTTGGTATCTGAATTTCATATTTTTCTGACAGAATTCTCATTTTTCTTGGTACTAAACCTGCATAATCATCACCACAGTGTTTACAAAAGCTTAGAAGGATAGATATATTAAAGTGATCTTCTTTATCCATGTTTATGAGTGTTGTGAGGATAGATCCAAGCAAGGAAAAGGCATTCTTATTAGAGAATACTCCTACTTGTACCAGTTCAGCATATAATCTCAGATCTACTCTGAGTTTACTTGGATTGGAAATCTTCTCACCTACTTTCACTGCAAGAGCCTTTTGCCAGTTATCAAACAAGCATTGTGAAAAATCAGTGTAAGTTTGATGCAAAATGCTGCATAGCTTTACAGCTGCTGGTACATCAGTCATCTTCAGTTTGGATTCTACTAAGGCTGCAGCTACTTCTGAGATATATTTTGATAAATTCAGAACAGACATATCTTTTAAGTAGCTGTCTATCTGTGGAGATGAAAAGTTTTTGATCTTTTTGACAAATGCAGTATTCTTTTTCAAGGTTGAGTCAAGTTTTGAGAAGAAGCTTTCACTTGGACGATTGTTCAATGCATTTTGATTAACTGTTCGTAACTCTTTCTTCAATTGAAGTTTTTCCTGGACCTCTTGGATGTATGATAACAGAAATTCTTTCTCTTCTTCGTCAGATAAATTCTCGTTGGCAGGTTCATTTTCACCATCGTTTTCATTGACAGTCATGTTTTATTTGAGCAAGTTGAACGTATCAGTATTATTTCAAAGGGGTACAGGTTTGGTGCACAGTGGTTGAAAAAATCTGGAAAACAAATTTTTGGATTTTTTAAAGGTTTTGACACATATCAACATAACCTAAAAGCATAAAACACAAATTTCGAAATGTCACACTGAGACGTACTAATAACACTGCTTCCGTTTAAACGCCCTGGTTCGCCATGTTCTAGGACAGGGTTTCTCCACCTTTTTCTTGTTGAGGCTCCCCGACTATAAATTATATTTTCATGTCCCCCTTTTTTAATAAAGATAAAAAAAACGCACATTATATAGGTAGAAATACTTTTATTTTAATTCTAATAAAGGAACTTTAACATTTTACATAAACTAATAAATGTTTTTTTATCGAAAAACTTGAATAAGAGTAGTTAGGTACTAATGAGACACTTGAGATAGCATGTTCTGTACCAGTTGGTTGATTCTAGGTTCTGTTTTTGCCAGAGCTATCATCGGGTCGCTATCGTCATCAAGACGATTTCGCTGTTTAGTTTTAATTAAAACTAGAGCAGAAAAGCCTGTCTCACATAAGTAAGTTGAAGAAAAAGGAACTAGTATTCGTAAAGCAGGAGAGGTAAGTGTCGAATTAACTGGCCATCTTTTGATCCAAAATTTCTCCAATCTTAAAAGATGGAAGTCATCTTTCATGGACGAATCAGCCTTCAGTTCTAGAAATTCTTCCTGAACCTCTTCTGGTAATAGTGACACATCGACGACAAATGGATTTCTTGTCATGTGCCATATATTGGTGACTCTGAATTGATGTCTCGATAGTATCTGCGAAATTCGTCTTCCAGCCCTTGCAAATGAGTTTTTATGTCAGCTTTTAAATTTGCGTCCAGTATGTTATTTTTAATTGCTTTGAACAGCCGAGAAAAAGGTATAATATTTTAAGAAGACACTTCTTGATTCCTAAGTGGAGTGATATGAACCCCTGAATATAATCATAATTGCTTATTATAGTGTTTCTGACCCGAAGTTTCAAGTTCAGCTCATTCAAGAGAAGTCAAATGTGTCGGTCAAATAAGCCAACCTCCATTGAAATGTGTCACCTTTGAACATTGTCAAGAAATCGTGTTTTTCTTTGAACTCAAGAAAAATAATTACCTCTTCTTTCAGTTCATAAACGCGAGCCAACATGTAGACTTTGGACAGCCAGCCCCGTACTTCTGTATGGAACAGAAGAACTTTGTGATCAGAATTGAGATAAGCGCGCACTTGCGGGGGGGGGGGGGGCGTAATTACCCCCAGACGACTCGAGCAGTCTTTGAAAAGGTGATATAAAGTAAACGTCTTATAAGAAAATCTGTAACTTTAAGAAAGCATAGCGGCAACACTGCCAACCCGCTAAGTGCGCATGCGACTAGCGACTACTCTCCCACCAACAACAACGGTGTGCGCTTCTGCCTGTTCGAACAGGTATAGTCTAGTCTTTTATGGTCTAGTCTAGTATCTGAATTCTGTACCAGTCCGGAGTCCGCAACAAAATTTGGCTGAGAAGTGAACAAGCGGAGATTAGTTGATCTGGTTGGTATTAACGCTATTTTCTATGTTCTATTGTTTTTTTATTTTCCACGCATAAGCCAGAAAATTAATTTTTGGTTGTATTTAATTTTTATACCTACTATAAAAGAATCGTGTCTAAAAAAATGACAGACGGAAAAATGGAAATTTAATATAATTTCAATTACGAAGTGTTTGGTCCATTCTCCAGCTATAATTATCATCTATGTCTCTTTTGTCTTGGAAGTCCCTGTATATAAGCAGTTCAGTGCATTTCGTTCGTCCGAGATGGCAAATTATATATTTAGTTTTTGAAAATTGCGTGAACTTAAGAAATCTTGTTTTCCAAACAGAAAAGGTTATCTGTTATGAGATACGTGAATGCGTGGAAATCAATAATGCCGTTTATTTGACCTTATTTGTGTAACTGTTAGTGCTGGTTGACGGCTGCTGTTGTCAGGATGAGTAAAAGGAAACAAAATACCATCGATTGGTTCCTTTCTAAACAAAACAAACTGTCTGATCCAGCGGCACAAGAATTACTGGAAAAAATTGATGATAATCATACAATTCAACCTGAACCTTCCACTTCAAAATTTCTTGATGTTGCACCGTATGCTCAACCACGTGTTGAACAATCGGATGCCAAACCTAAAGGATCCAATTTTGTTGATGTTGCGCCATATTTAAATTTCAGCGGCAACTTGTCTTCCCATGGAAAATATACCTGATTGAGGTGTGCAATTATCCCTAATAACTTTTTCAAATTCCCAATACTACACTTTTGAAAAATAATAAAGAAGTAAAATGTTACTTATCAAAAAAACACTTTGAGAAATTTCCTTGGTTGTCATATTCAGAGGAACTACAAGGGCCTTTTCTGTAAATATTGCGTGGTTTTTGCAAAATTAGGAGGAGTATATAAATCAACTAAATTGGAAAAACTTTTTACCGTACCACTAGTAGCGATTTCAAAAATTAGAAAATTAATTTCAGCATATAAATCTGCAGCCGCAGCCGCAACAGGTTCATCACCATCTTCAGATGATGAAGATAAAAGTGAATTTGATTTTTGAAGCACCATAAATCTTTGGCTCACAAGCAAATAAAAAGAAAAAAAACTGACGGTGACGACGAGCTCACGTTATATCTTTCTGCTCCTGTAAATACTCTAAAAGTAAACATTATTGAAATATGGCAAGAGATGCAAGGTGTATATCCCAATCTTTTTAAAGTGGCAATGAGTCATCTACCAATTGTGGCAACAAACGTTCCTTCCGAACGTATTTTTTCAATAGCACTATAACTCAGAGCAGAAACCGGCTACAAGGAAACAGACTGTCAAAGTTACTATTTTTAAGTTCAATAGCTAGTACAAAATGCTGGAATTAATTTTACCAAATAAATGTATGGAAAGAAAAACACATTTTATATACCTATCCGAATTTTGTTTCACTTCACATACATAAGTATAAAAATTTATATAACGTACATACATAATCGATAACTGTTTGATATAACTGAAACAACATTGGATTTCTAATTTCTGTAAGCTTTCAAAAAAATATGAAATATCGATATATCGGCATAATAGATCGATATATCGATATCGATTTAATTCGATATATATCGATATCGATATATCGATATTTATAAAAAGTTTGCATCCCTAGTTGCGATACACCTGTGTCATAACTTGCCGATTAATCTAGTCTCATCCGCTTGAGTGATTCTGCTTTAGAAGAAGAAAACTCTTTCGTCTTCAAAACCAGAGTAGGATGTTGTTGCTTCAAATGCCTTTCAATGCGATTGGGCCTCATGCTATCATTATTTAAAACTTTCATATATATCACACACTAAGGCAATTGTAACTCGTCTTTTTCTATGAAGGTAAATCCAAACTTAACGTAATCTTCGGAAAAGTTTCTTTTTTTCGCTGTTATTTTGCACCTATAACAATAAAACAAATAAGTAATAAATAAATAAGCAAAATACCTACATGTAATTACTAATTATATGCCCATTATTTTATCTTAATAACGTAATGTATTCAACAGTATATTGGCCACCGGGAGATTTGTATTTTTGTAGGTAGGTAGATACGTTATAATAGTAATTTTAAATACATTTGGAATCAATATTAGGTACTTAAAGTTCGTCGTTTCAAAGGAGGTGGGTTGATAAGGTCCTTTTTCGCCCATAACACACTCAAAAATAAAAAGTTCGATTCCAGACTATTATTGAATTTATTTGTGAACTTCAAGACGTGTATTTTTCCATTATATAATATTTACGGTATAAATAATGTAATATACTTCAGAAATTATTGCCAAGAAATAGAGTATTTAGCGCTTTTTGTGCATTTTTGTTGTTTTTCGATCTTTGAATCATGTTTTCCCTATGAAGCGTTCCATGAACAACATTAACTTTAATGATCAGTGAGTCTACTTATTATAAGCTTGTACATCAGTATTTATCTGTTTTGGTTCAGTGAGCGCATCAATCCAAAAATACGTAATATATGCTGCGGGAGAGTGTGAGTCACGTTGCAATCGCTGCGTGTTCAGACATGATTTTTCGCGCTCGAAAAGTATTTACGTAGTAATGGTATAGAAATTGTACTGTGCTGTCGCGTTCAACGTTTATTGAAAAACTTGATAAAACAATAATGCCTGGATGCCAGTGTGATTGTTGTAAAACGGCGAAAAACAAACAGTGATTTCCGTAACTGCTCCAACAAAAACATTACAGCAATACTTAAAAAACTAAAAACTGTGATCTGCAAATTGGTTCTAAGTTGTGTCCTAAATGCAGATCATATGCATTCCGCGTGGCTCAATCTCAAAAGACTCCAACTTCATCTTCTATAAGGACAACAAGAGTTCTTACTTCAACAAGTACCACTGATGATACTGAAGGATGGTCTGATAGTGATTCGAATGAAGAAGACAAGAAGAAGATTAGTAAAAAATATATTAAGTGTATGAAAACTGATTATCTTTTATTATTGTTTAACACTCAGTTAATTATTTAATTTAGGTATACCACGAATTGCAGTTTTCATTTGAAATAAGTGTTTTCTGCTTTGTTATGGAGTATATTCTTCATAAATATATATATATATATATATATATATATATATACATTATACAGGGTGACTTCGAAGTTGAGTCATTTATTTTAACAGTGAGTAGATCTGATCAAAAGAAATGTTTTTTCTTTTAACATTTTTCTGGTAAAATTAAAGTAACAAAGTTATAGCCCTTTAGAAGTTTGAGTACCGCCCTGTCTCAATAATAATATTATGTGTTTGGCAACAACGGATATCGGTTCATCGCATCGGAAACAAAAAAGCGAAAGAATTTGAAACGTTTATCACGTTGTTTTTCGTCAGTCGGTAACGCGTGGGTGAATAGTGATGTTTGTTGCGTGACTCAAACGAAATGAAAAATGGCACATGTTTACGAAAATGCTGAACTTGTGGACATGATTCTTATTTACGGGGGGGCAGTCTTTACAAAATGCTGCCGGATGCATCACGGATTTATGCGAATCGGTTTCCGAATCGAGTGCAACCAACCCCTCGTGCCTTTGTTAATGTAGTACAAAGGGCTCGTGAATCAGGTGACTTAAGACCTCACAGGTGAGAGCATGCTGGTGCTCCAAGACTGCACGACCAAATACAGGTCCGCACTGAAATACTTGTCGGGAGGATACTTTATTAAACAAGGTAACATTTTTTTTTATTTTTACACACATATTTTGGTTTATCTTCTTTCTACAATCATTATCTGAAAATTAATGACTCAACTTCAAAGTCACCCTGTATATATTTCATATCTATTTGCTGATGGGCGAAACATGGCTCTTATCAGCCCACCTCCTTTCGCCACGTTGGTTTGATTGTGATGTGGTAAATAAGTCACAATGGCCGATCTATGAACCCGTCTCCACTCAATTTCGTAAATTAAATAAAAATGGCAACTGAAGTTTGTAAATACACAAACTTACCTTTTAGCAGTCAGACACAATAATTTGACCCACTCATACTGATTTCTCAACAAAACATGTAGGTACATCGAAACGTCAAATTTCTCGCAAATTTGTGGGAATGAATGTCATAGATGCTCATCGGCGTCTGGTAGGTACACAATTGTTTTCGTAACTTGTATAAACTGCGATTGACCACGCCGGGTTTTGAAACAGCGGTTGACAGAATAAGTGAATATGATACTTAATTTCTAATTTTATGCGTGTAAATTAAACATTACATTGCAATGTTATTTGTTTATTTATTTCTTTCTAAAATGCAAACGCTTTCCACCCCCCTTGACATCTCTCTATGCCCCCCTTGAGAACTCCTGTTCTAGGATAACTCAATGGTAAGGGTAAAGAGGCCATTTTTGTTTGTTTGGCAAAGGGCCAGCGTATTTCTTTGTCAGTCCTGGCAATTTATTCGCATTTGATGGGGAAAATATTCTGATTCTATAGTTTTTGAGATATAAGGACACAATATTTGAAACAGTGCGAAATATGCAATTTTCGACCCCGAAAAAGAGTATGATAAGACGAAAATTTTAATGTTGCCAATGTTCCTAAATTTTCTTCTCAGACATCCATTCAGAAAATCAAAAAATTATCTGAGGTGGTATTGTTATTGTGAACCTTTGTTTTTTAATATGTCAACCAAGCGCGCGTTCTGTTTATGCTCTGTGTGAGCGAGAGAGAGATACAACATACAGGGTTGCAGCGGCGGAGAATCGTTGAGTGCGAGCTCGATTAACAATTGAAAAACAATACGTCATGAAATGCTTTGAGGTTTTATTAATGGATATTTGAAGAATATTTAGGAACATTAGCAACAAGTTTTTCGTTTTTTCGTTACAAAATTTTGGACGCAAGTTTGGGCCTGTCAACATGCAGATTCGCTAAAAGCGGTCTTTTTTTAATAAGATTATGCATAAAAACCTGAATCAGAATATTTTTTCCATCAGATGCGAATATATGTCCGGACTATACAGTGTGTCACAGATGCGCTTCTCTATACAGGGATCTCGGCTCCTGTTATACCTACATCAAAGGTTAAATGGGAAAATTTTTAGACGAAGCTTGGTGCTTTCGATAGCCGGCTTCAGATTTACGATCGGTCAACTTTTTTTAAAAATATCAGCGAAAAATCTAATATGGCGGATTTTTTTGCCAGTAAATCCAAAACGGTTAATTTGACAACTGTCAAAATGTGACAGTATTTGTACATTCTTTTAAGAGAAATAAGGTAGAATGTATGAGATATCTCAATCCTCTATTGTTTTCCAGCCACCCGCCTCAACTTTCATATTGGATTTTTAGATTTTTGAAAAGAGTGTGAAATTTCCAGCCCAGCGATGCCTCAGAAGTGCATTAAAGATTAGAGTATTATCGAAATATCATCGCACGTAATGTTATGTATTAGTTTTTTTCTAAGGAGGCCATGATTTATTTATCAGAAAGTAACATTAATGAGTAAGGAATAAAAAAAACACATGAACGTCTTGAATTTGCAATAAAATATTAACGTTAATATCGACTTCTCAACAAGTCAAATGTTTTGGGACAAATTCTCAATTATTTTACACTTGAACAAATAAACATCTTACAGAATTGTAATGTAATGTAAAATCTAATTGTGTAAGTGGGTAGGTATTAATTTACAGATTTGCAAAGTAACGTCCATTTGCATCCAGCCATTTTTGACAATTGGTACATTCATTCAACCTTAGCTAGTGTATTTCTGTTAATGTTTCTAACTGTGCTCAAAATTCCTTGTCTCGGGATTTATATGGTCACGGGAGCATCAAATTCCTAGACCTCATTGTTTGTGTGACCTCCGAGGTAGAAATCCAAGGGTGAAAGGTCAGGGGATCTAGGAGGCCAATATATTGATCCATTTAATACAATTATTCTTTAATCAAACTGCTCTCTTAAGAAGTTCCGACTTGAATGGTGTTGAGAGGCGGATATACATCCTGTTGAAACCAGGTTCTTCTAAACTCATCTTCGGTTAGACTAGCTCGTAAAGTCGAGACAACCTGGTTTTGCAAAAGCTCTAGGTACCTCTGTCCGTTTAGGTTGTATTCAAACAAAAATGGTCCTATAAGTCGATTTCCTGGAATGATTAATACCTAATTTCAAATAGGTGCCCAATTAAAAAAGTAAGTTGGATTAAATTATCAATGACCCCACACCAAACGATAGTTCCAAATCTCGTCTGTATACGTCTCTCTGCCACTTCGTGCTTATTAAAAACTCCACAATTCGTAAATCTATTCTCATCGGACCGATGACATGATTTACGATTTAGTCCTTGAACTATTGTAGGTTTGTATGGATGGTACTTATTCTTATTTGACACTCTCTGTAGTGTTGATTTTGACACACCAATTTCTCGTTCTATAGTTCTTACTGATGCACTAGGTATTTCGATGTGGATTTCGTTGACAACATTAAAATGTTTCTGTCGCAATTCGCGATTTTCATTTTCAATATTGTATCCGCTTCTAAGTTGTTCGAAGGCCCCATAGTTTATTAAATTAACAACTATTTTTCTACCTTGCTGAGGTTATGTCGGCGTTTCTGTGTGACTGCAAGTACATCGCAAACATATGTTAAGCTTTTCTTCGTTTGAGTGGGGATTACCGGCCATTTTCAATACTATTTAACAATTTTAAGATTCATAATTTTAATGAGAGAAAACGTACCTACTACTTATTAAAATACAATTTTAATACTTTGAATTATTTAACGTCAAAGTCAGAGCCCCTTTAGATAAAAAAATGCGTTACTAGCGGCCGTATATTCAGTTGTTCCTACAATTATTATTGTAGGACGCCTTTATGGCCTCTTTCATTTTCATAATCTTTCCTCTCTTTCAGAAAGGCTAGGATATGTCTAGATTTCTACTGATCCGTATCAGCGTCAGCGCTCTCCTATTGTCAGGCTATGTTTTCTTTTTGACTTGTTGGAAATTTCAGGCTATAGAACAGATGATATAAATCAAAAGCATGAACAATTTGATGCAAACAGATATTTGTGTCATAACCTCAAAATAGAGCGCTGACACAGAACAGTAGAAAACTATAAAATTCAAGGAGGCCATAAGGCGTCCTTGATTTTAATAGTTTCTCCTATCTTTCAAATAGATCTATATTGAGGTTATGTTACAAATATCAGTTTGCATCAAATATTCATGTTTTTGACTTTTATCTTATGTTCTATCAGCCTGAAATTTCTTACAATTATGAACATAACTAGACGAGCGCTGGCGCTGACAGGGAACAGTAGAAATCGAGACATACCCCAGCCTTTCTGAAGGAGGGAAAAGCCTATTAAAATCAAGATGGCCATAAAGGCGTCCTACAGTTGTAGGAATGACCGGCGATATGGCCCTTTTTAATTTTTTGTGACATCACTTGGTTGGAAATTTTACGCCCTTTTCAAAAATCGAAAAACAAAATATGGAAGCCATAAGAAAATGAAAGTTGAGGCAGGTTGTGGGAAAACAAAAGACGATTTAGATATGTCATACAAGCTATCTTATTTGCCTTAAGCAAATGTTCGGATGAAGTCAGATTTTGACAGCTGTCAAATTAACCGTTTGGGACTTACTGACAAAAAACAAAAATCAACCGATATTTCCAAAACCCATTGTCCGATCGTAAATCTGAAGCCGGCCATCGAATGCACCAAGCTTCCTCCAAAACTTTACCCATTTAATCTTTGCTGTAGGTATAACAGGAGCCGATATACCTGTACAGGGTGACTTTGAAGTTGAGTCATTAATTTTCAGATAATGATTGTAGAAGGAAGATAAACCAAAATATGTGTGTAAAAATAAAAAAAAAATCAAAAAAAAATGTTACCTTGTTTTATAAAGTATCCTCCCGACAAGTATTTCAGTGCGGACCTGTATTTGATCGTGCGGTCTTGGAGCACCGGCATGCCTTCCATTGTGAGGTCTCAAGTCACCTGATTCACGAGCCCTTTGTACTACATTAACAAAGGCCCGTGGGGTTGATTGCACTCGATTGGGAAACCGATTCGCACAAATCCGTGATGCCGCGGCAGCATTTTGTAAAGACTACCCCCCCGTAAATAAGAATCATGTCCACAAGTTCAGCATTTTCGTAAACATGTGCCATTTTTTATTTCGTTTGAGCCACGCAACAAACACCACTATTCACTCACGCGTTACCGAATGACGAAAAACATCGTGATAAACGTTTCAAATTCTTTCGCTTTTTTGTTTCCGATGCGATGAAACGATATATCCGTTGTTGCCAAACACGAGCACATAATATTATTATTGAGACAGGGCGGTACTCAAACTTCTAAAGGGCTATAACTTTGTTACTTTAATTTTACCAGAAAAATGTTAAAGGAAAAAAACATTTCTTTTGATCAGATCTACTCACTGTTAAAATAAATGACTCAACTTCGAAGTCACCCTGTATAGAGAAGCGAATCTGGGACACACTGTATAGGTGTGGTGTATTAACGGTAGTTACTGGGTATTAAAAATATTTGGTGCTGAGAAATTAAATACTGCGCTGATACTCGTATTTTCCATGTGCTATATTTAATATTTATTTATACATGATACTGGACTAGCTCCATGAACCCTACTCCTTTGGAATTGCTTATCTTCTTCTTTACAGCGGACTGATCTTCACGCTCGTTACCAGGTATTATGGACTGCATTCTAGATTTCTGCAATAGAAGAAGAAACGATAGTGATCAAGCGCGTACCCAGCTTAAAACGGGGGGAACCTTCGAAAAACTGTTCGGTGGAAGTTCCACAAATCATATCAACACAACTATGCTTGATATTTTTCTTTCTATTTGCATTTATCTTATGTAGTGCTTTCCACGACGATTTGACAATTCATATGGTTATTGAAAGCTAACAGGATTACTTATTTGAACAACTCAAGCAAATATTGTGCGATATGAATTTTTAAGTAACAATTTAGTCATTTCAAATACATGAAAGCAACACTTGAGATAATATATGACATACGTATGTTTGCTATACTGCAAATCCTTCAAAATTCAGATAGGGTGCTCATTTTTTCAGTGAAATCAATAGCCTAGGGAAGTTCTGTAATGGCGAAAAAACTTCAAATGGAAGAATAATTTTTAGATATATCAATGGTAGGTACATTTTTTGTGGTGTTCGACAAGCACCTAGTTTTTGGGACTCTATTACAGAAAATATTCATAATTTTTGTTAATCGGTCCTGTTGCGATAGAGCAGTGGTCGCCAACCTTTTCAGTATATTGAGCTACTTTGGTAATTTTGGAATAAACAGTGAGCTGCCTAGCCGTGAGCAATGTAAGCCAACTTAAATGAAATTATATACAGTTGTATGCGGCATACATGTGGTTATTTTACTAATACCGCGTATTAAAAAAATAAATATCTACTAATAAACTTAAATAAGCTAATAACTAATACATACTACATAACTACATCCATTCCTACCAATCGTACGTGTTTGAAAAGTAAACAAAGTTTTTCGTCAGCTACAATGGCATGTCACATACGATTTATTGAAGGCAACTGAAAATAAAAAAAGCAACGCACTATCTTAAACAAAAACATGTCCAGATAAAAAGTGCGTGATCAATAAGAAGCCTGCACTCAGATTCACTTAAAATTTCAACAAATGTTCATCTGTAAGTCGATTACGGTATTTGTTTTTAATAAACTTCATATTTGAAAAAGAAGATTCACACAAATACGTTGAACTAAATAACGATTTCACTTTCAAGGCAACACGACATAAAACTAAATATTTATCTTCACTTACTGAAGGCCAGATACATTTTTTATTTGAGACTAATTATTTTAGAGCTAAATCATTTTGAAACGCATCACTTCCATTTCTGTCTCAGTGATTTCCTCGCTAAAATTCTGCGTAACAGAAATTGAAAACTGTTGGATGATATCAATTTCCATGAAAGGTGAAACAACAAATTGCGCCACTAGAGCAATTTCTTTGGAGTGCTTGAAACGATGGTATTTACTGTCATATGGTTCTGAAGGACTTTTACATATATTTTCTGAAAGAACAGGAAAATGCCTGGTATCACCATCGATTTGTTGTTGTTCCCAAAACTCAAGCTTTTTGATAAGCGCTTTTATATCAGAAATCATTTCTGCTAGTTCTTCGTCTCTCCCCTGAAGCTGCAAATTAAGTTTATTTGATTTTTCTGTAACATCCACAAGAAAACCAAAATCTCTAAGCTAAATTGAATTTTCCAGTTCCGGAATCGGTTCATCAGGTTGTTTAAAAAATTGAACTATGGCAGATATGATATCATTAAAACGTTTCAGCATTCGTCCCCTACTTAACCATCGGACTTCAGAGTGAAGAAGTAGTTCCCCGTATTGACAGTCAATTTCATCGGCCAAGGTTTTGAATAATCTTCTTTGTAACGCTCGAGATCTAATCTTGTTCACAATTTTTACTTCCAATTTCATCACGTTGTTTAGTTTAAGAAAATGTCCACATAATGCTTGCTGATGGATAATGCAGTGCTAGCAGAGAAATTGCGGAAAACTTTCATCTTTACGACATAACCTCACGAGACTCTTATCACGACCCACCATAGCTGGAGCGGTTGACAAGCCTACCATTTTCGATGTTGGAATTTTCTCAGAAGAAATGACATTTTTAAAAGAAGAAAACAAGTCCTGCCATTTTAGTGGAATAAAGATCAGAAGATCTTCTTTAATCGTAAAATCACTAAAAACCATCCTGACGAACACGGCCATCTGAGAGGTGTCAACGACATTTGTGGATTCATCCAGCTGCAGTGAAAAATAAGCACAGTTATCGAAGTCATTTCTTAAATGTAAAACTATATCATTGCTCATTACTTCTTCTCCCCTCATCACTGTATTAGCAGAAAGTTGCATAGATTTTATAGCAGACACTATCTGGTCTTTATTTCTAAAGTTGGCAAATAATGAATCTGCAGCTTCTAAAAACGCCTATTTTTTTTCGCCGTCTTTATAAGGTTTCTTCTTTTGTGTAATCATTTGGGACACCCAGTATGATGCTTCAGTTGCACCCTTACTTCTGTCGATCGTTTTTAAAAACATTGTCTGTTGTCCAATTAACTGTTTTTTAACTGTTTTAGTTTTTCCGTTCTGGTTGCAGAGTGTAACGAGAATGATTTTTCAAAATTCGAATGTACAGTTTTATAGTGCCTCTCGATATTCCCTTTTTTAGCAACGGAAACAGATACATTACACAACAAACATACATTTCTACCGTTAACTTCTGTAAAGAAATATTGTTCTTCCCATTCCGAATGGAAATGGTATGTCTTCATCTTCTTACTACTGCTCATAATGTTTTTAATTGCAGGCCAACTCTAACCAAACCGCTGGACTTTGTGCCGTTCAGTTTTAAACTGAGCGCACTGTCGCCGGGCCTTGCGTATTTATTCCCTTCAAAGTAAACGAGATTGTTCTCGAACAGATCTCTCACCGCAGTGTTGCCGCTGCTTGTGTTTATCATGAGAATTTACAAAATTTACGGAAGCTTCTATGATTTTTACACCTTTTTAAAATATGTTGTGACCCACCAGAATTGCCTTTGCGAGCTACCGGTAGCTCCCGATCGACGGGTTGGCGACCACTGCGATAGAGCGATCGTCAGAAAAAATCTAAGTAATCGTGGTCCTTCTATAACTGGGAAAGTATCACTAGATTTTGGAAAAAAATTGAAAGGTTTGCCTAATTGTACCAGTCTTATGACCAAAAAATCTATAATTCGTCCAAGCTTGCCTTTAGCTTTTTTCCGTTTTGAACGCAATCTGAAACTTCCTTTGTGGAGGCGAAATTCAAAAAGAAGCCAAGCTTTGTTGATATATATAAAGACGTAGTCAAGAGTTTATTTGAAGCATTCGAAGATTGTGCAATCCGGCAAAATTCGTTTTTCAAATTCTAATCATCCAGTCACTTTTGTCTAACTCCAAGCACAACACGCATATCGAAAATACGTGGAGTGGAATCTGCGTTGAAAAATCGGGAAACTGCTGTTACAATAACTTATCTAGAAACGTCAACTTATTTGATCAGGCTAATTAGTCCCCTACCTTCCTCCTCTCTGGCCGCCTATAAACTTTCATTTTCTTAAAGCCAAGTCGTTGCAACAATTGGGGTATACATAGGGAGTGAGGGAACTCTTTACTTCGACGAGACCTTCAAATAATTAGGATCGAACGTCACTTACAGGTAAGTTCGTTTGATCATTAAATTATATTCCGGTCTCGTCCAAGTAAATGCTACTTGTAGATATTCAAAGCGAGTTGCAAAAACATACTACTAACGCTCTGCAATAGTAAACGATAGGTTGTAAACAACTAGACAGATTGTGAAAGAAATTGAACAGAAGGAATTGTAAAAATAAAAGACTTTTTATCAAACTTTGAAGGCCTAAGTCTATAGAAGGTTTGGGAAAATAATGAAAACTTTAAAATAGGTATATCCAGTTCGTTGTAACAGTTAATTGGTTATTGCATCGTTCATTTTTTGCCGAAAAGTGCATACGAGTTAATATGAAATAGTAGCCAAAACGCTTTTGTAGTGATTGTTATTGAAAAATCTTCAAAAATGCTCAAGCTATACAGCGACATAACTGCTACAACAAATTGGACATACCGCTTCCGAGATCCCAAAGCCGAGTTTCGAGTATAAAACAAACGTAACATACAGAGTACTTTTAGCAAAATTAAGTATATATCTAACATAAATTCCAACTAATCCTAGTATTTTCTCATCTAATAGTGATAAAGGGGTCGAAAGTATTGGAACGCAAGGTTGAACGGTTCTGATTTGAATGGAACCGCGAAGTCCTGACATCCCTGCTTACTTATAATGAGCCCTTATTTCTTGGCTAAAAAAATTATGACAAATGTGGTTCGGCGGTATCAGTGATTCAAAATAGGGTGACGGCAGCTGCATGCTTGAGCACTTGAGCAGTGAAGGCATGAAAGACGATCTGCAGGGGTATTATGTAAAAAACCTAAACAAACCGACGAAATGTCATCTTGCAGATTATATAGTTTTAAGTGTGCAAATAGTTTATTCCACGTTTGCTTGCTATAATCGCTGTTCGGTAACACTTAAGCAACACGTACAGATACAAAACGAGTTCACAACAAGTGTACAAGTGCTTGTGCTAAGTTAACATCCCGTAGAAAAACGTATGTTATGTCACAAAAAACCTAAGAATTGTCAAAAAAGACCGTGCTGTTCACATCCAGTCGAGCAGCGGAGGCCGACTGCTACATATTTGCGAAGCGTATGATCGAATCGCGAGGGTCGGACGAATAAATGCTGGAAAATGTATGGTTAGTGAGAATTTAATTTTTTAAATTTTTTGATCCTAGCTCCTCCGCCACTGGATCAATTTTAAAAAACTTTAAAGATTTTTCGTCCTTGGCAGAGTTATAACCTTGTGTGAAAATTTCATCACAATCCGACCAGTACTTTCTAAGTTATAGAATATAGAGGGGTCAAGGATAAGCGGACAGACCGACAGACAGACAGACACCGACGGAAAAGAGTAAAATGGTTTTTCACGTCATATAACACCCAAAAACAATATCTTAGGGCCGTATCGTCAGTCGCTCCTACAATTGTCTACTTTTCCGTGTCAGCACTCTATTTTGAGGTTATGTCGCAAACATATATTTGCATCAAACTGTTCATGCTTTTGATTTATATGATGTCTGATCAGCTTGAAATTTCCTACAATTCAAAAAGAAAACATAACTTGACAATAGGAGAGCACTGACGCTCACGCAGAGCAGGTGCAATCTATACATTTTTGGAGAGAAAAGACTATGACAATCAAGGAGGCCATAAAGGGGTCCTACAATTGTAGGAGCGACTGACGATACGGCCCTTATTTCTTTCACTAGTAATTCCCAGTGTAGTTATTTGCGTTGTGTTACGGAATTAAGTGAGACTTGATTGTACGGCCAATTACACTTGCAACTTGTAGACTTGTATTACTTGTGCTGTTCGTGCTACAGGACCCTGGATTACCTCAGCAACGGTAAAAAATAAATGAACCAAATTTTGTTCGAAGGGGTAACTCACATGAAGAATTCAAAAATTATATTTGCAAGGTTGCCTAGTTCTTAGTTTTCTCTCTAGGTTAGAGAATTTTAAAATTTTAAATGGAATACCCTAATTTTTATTATTGTAATCAATTTTCTGTAGCAATTTTTTTATGAAATGATATTATAGTTTTTTTTACTCCTGTCAATTTCGGAGATATGGCATCACGCTTTGTTTTATTCCTTACACTTGCATCTTAGTAAGAAATCATCAATTTGTATGTTTTCCAAAATAAACAAAAAGACGTGTTATTCATTTGTATGTAATGTCATGGAGACTTCAGAACCATAACAATTAGGAATATCAAAACAATTCAAAGTGACAAATATTGCGGGCGTTATTATGGCATTTCTGTACTTAACGAAAAACAGCGAATTGAAATTCTTATTTTTCGAGTATATGGAGATAAACATAGATATATCAAGGAGTGTGCAATTTGTTTAATGCGCTCTATCCCGAAAAACAAATTAAACAATCTACCATCTGCAAGACAGTAAGAAACTTTCTTGAAACTGGCGGACTGAAAAAGAAACCTGGATCAGGAAACTGCTACTGGTGAAGAGAATAAGTTAAATGTTCTTTTACAACTCGAAGAAAACCCTAGGACAAGTACCACACAATTAGCCCTTAATTCACGAAAAGTCAGAAATCGGTCAGATATATCTTGGCCAATAAAAAACTCAAACTCTACAAAATAATTTACCTCCAACAACTGCAAGAAGATGATCCAGACCGTCAAGCTCAGTTTGCAGAAACTATGATGGAAATGATAAACAACAACACCAATTCCCACAAAAAAAATTTGTTCACCGATGAAGCCACCTTCTGTCTAAAGTTTAAATGGACAAGTGAATCGGCACTACTGTAGATTGCAGCAGGAGTGGAGAAAATCTTCACTGGATATCGGAACTTCACACTCAATACCCGGAAAAAGTTAATGTTTGGGCGGCAATTTTGGGAAACCATGTCATTGGCCCATTTTTCATAGATGGCAATTTGACGGGACAAAAATATCTTGATCTCCTTAAACAACTCATAATACACGAAATTAGAAATTTAAATGAAAATATGGACGAAATTTGGTACCAGCATGTTGGAGTCCCAGCTCATTTCTCCAGAGGGGTCATCGAGTTTTTAAATAACCAATTTCCAGGAAGATTGATTGGAAGACGTGGCACTCTGGAATGGCCACCTTGCTCCCCAGATACAACCCTACTAGATTTTTTCTTTTGGGGTTTTCTGAAGTGCAGAGTTTATAAAGATCGGCCCAATGATTTAGACGAACTTAGGCAAAATATTTTGGATGAAGCCGCACAAACTACTCCAGTCATGTTATCGAATACTTTGGCAGAGTTTTATGATTGCCTAGGATATTGTTTAGCCAACGATGGTAGCCATTTTGAGCACCTGATTGAGTAGACAGCTATTTTGTTATTTTTTAATATTATGTTATTATTTTGCACTAATATTTACTTGTTTGATAAAATTAAATTTTTTTATTCCTTTTCCTTGACTTTTTTTTTAAATAGAATCCTGGAAACATCGCAAATGCAATTCATGAATTTAGAATTTCCAGTTACTCCCCTGTACTAATTTTGACGAATTTCGGGTGGATCGTTTTGGAGATAATTGACCATACCTTGTCGTTTTTGTATTCAATTCGAAAGAAGCATGATGCCATATCTCCGAAATTGACAAGAGTAAAAAAACAATAATATCATGTCATAATAAAGTTGATACAGGCAATTGATTACAATAATAAAAATTAGGGTATACCATTTAAAATTTTAAAATTCCCTAACCTAGAGAGAAAAATATAAACTTGGCAACCGTGCAAATATAATTTTTGAATTTTTCATGTTGAGTTACCCCCTCGCACAAAATTTAGTTCATTTGTATTTAACGGTTGCGTTCCGGTTTTTTCTACTAACTCTGCATATCAAATATTTTAATTTTGCAGAGATATTTATATAAATAATAAATAGTAACGGCATCAATTTACATCCCTGTGGCCTGTGGCACCCCTACTGATATATTTTGAACTCTTGATATAATATTTCCAACATCTATTTACTAAATAATTTTGTAAAATGTTTAATACTGATCCTTTAACCATAGTGATGTAATTTCATTAACATTTTTTCCTTCTCTATAGTCTCCTATCCTTTGAAGTCTAAAAATACTGTTACAATGCATTATTTCTCATCTATACTTCTCCAGTCTTCCACCACCATTTGGATTGCTGTTTCTGTAGAATATTTTTTTCTAACTCCAGCTTGATTTTTTGTCTCAATTTTGTTTTCTTCAATGGCAAGATATTAATCAGCCGCATATATGTACTAAACAATGGTTCACCAATAATAATAATTTCTCTCCAATTATATTGAAAAAATGATTTAAAATCATTCTCACTTGGATTTTTATTAGCTCGCTTGATTGTGTTTATTTGGATTTTAGTGGTGCTGTATGTGCTTTTTGCATCATCGTGTTCAAGTATATGGACTGGTAACTAGCATGCTCGAAGCTTACCCTCCTCTTTTCATCATCCTCCATTCTGACACCAGGCATGACAGTCAACCTTCTGGATGCAGGCATGGCTGCCATCATTCTCAGCAGATGAGCAAACTCATCTTTCATCTTCGCAGTAGACATCATAGATAGCATCTTCTGTTCGCGTTTTTCTAACATCTTAGGACCAAATAGATCGTCGAATTCTATCGTTTCAACTACCTCAAGACACTAAAGTAACAAAAATTTAGGTCAGACAGTGAGAAGTAGTGTTACAAGGACTTCTATAGCTAAGTGTCCACAAAGAGTCGGATATGTTTCCACAGAACATACGGATTTCTCTGAAACACTCGAGTTATGTTACTTTTGCTCTCATATGAGACAGTGTGTCTCTGCGCTCAGGTATTTCCACAATACCTACGTGAGAGGACGTGAGAGAAACAGAGAACAGTACATCATAAAATTATTGATCATGATGAAATAATTGCGGTATAACGATGGTAACCAAAAAGGTTAAAAGCGGCTGCTTGTTATTATCATCTTGCTGTTATGGCACTGTAATCAAAACGCGTCATGTTGGATGAGAGATAGGATTAAGAAAATAACAATATCATGTATAGATTATTAGAACAGCTATAACGGGAAGATCAGAAATGTTGAACGAATATCCGCTGCTGATTTTCGGTATTTGCTAGACGAAATCAGGTTTGCAATAGAAATACGAAACACACATATGCGAAACGTAATTCCAGCCGCTGAGCGATTAGCCTTCACTTAATTATTCTTTAGCTGTCAGTTTGAAGAAGCGAACATCTTCTAGGTGACAGCTACCATTTGCTAATGTATTTATTTCGCAAACCTCCATTAAACTGATTATACCTGAAGTGTGTTCTGCAATTAACAATGCTCTGAAACAAAAATATCTACGGGTTAGTTCATGGAACACATTTTTATTAAATCATTATTTTATATTTAATACTGTGAAATACTTAGTTCAGTACTGGGAGTTTGTAGGTCATTTTTCATTATTGGTATCTGCAATACTATTCGTCATTTGTTTGTCTGGGCGGTCCGTAGAACCTTTGCCTATTAGTCACTGTTTAATGTACGTTAGCCGAATCTGTCAGTCCTAGTTGCCCTGAAACCCCCCGTACTGGCCGTGTTGTTGGCAAAACATTGTTAACTTTGATCCGAAACTTCCTTCATTCAAGAAAGGATTTCAGTAATTTTAGAAGCCAAAAAGGAAAACCATTTTGGATTAATTTATAAAGGAGGCCCGCGACCATACCTTGTCAAAGGTTTTTGAGACATAAAAGCAAGATGCCATTATTTCTGCTGAGGGTGAACCCTCTGGTTACAGTTCCACCAGCCTGACTGCCTGTAGCTCGGTGCCATGCTCGGACCGAAAACTGAATTGAACGTCAGAAATCACGTGGTGATTTGATGATAAATTCTCAAGATGGCGATAAATCACCTTTTCGGCGAGCATAGAAGGAGCTGACAGCAGACTAATGGGACGGTAATCCTGGGGAAATATCGAACCCACCTTCTCTGGAATCATGATGACCTCAGCAGTCTTCCACCCCGCAGGGAAGTGCTGTGTTCTGAGCATCGCATTGATTATTGACACCAAATATGTCAGAGCTTTCGGTGAGAGCAGCTTCAGCGCCTTGTTGGTGATTTGATCCTCCCCAGATTCTTTACGCACCTTGAGGTCTCTAATAAGACATAGGAGCTCCGCTGGAGTGCAATGTGGAACCTCGGAGGGTTCTTCTAATGTGCTATGCGAAGCCTCAGACGAATCTTCTGAAGAAGAGTAATCTGAAGAGGATACAGTGCCTCCGCTAACGCTGTTGGCCCTAAAATCTCCTGATGGATCTTACAATGTGTTGTTCGTTGTCGAGTTCATTATCAAGATCATAGTTGGGAGAGAACTGTTTTTTCATGGTGTCAGCGAAAACCTCGACCTTATCCTCTGTTCTGAAGACTATGCCTCCAGGACCGTGGATGTGTTGGAGTTGTTCTCGCTTTCCATTTTTGAGTGACTTTGCGACCCTCCAGAGAGGAATACTTGAATCAAGCATTCCCGCCAGAAGTCACGCCATTGCTCATTACGGAATTCATGGACAAGACTCGTAGCCCTACGAATGTCATCAGGATGGCAAGATCATTTGACTGCTTAATTGCGGCTCGCTTGTCAGAGATTTTCTGACGAAAGTAGACAGGCAAAAAAGGTCTGCCGAGTAGTTGTACAGGAAGTACAGCTTCACGCTGTAGAGCTGGTTGAATGAAACTTGTCCACTCCGGTTGAGCGGCATCTATTTTGGTCTCATCATTTACGATCGGGATATTGGTAAACTCTCTAAGGAACAACTTATATAGCTCCCAATCAATATGTTTTCTTGGAGGAGCTTCCTCCTCAGAAGTTTGCTCATTGCCTAGTTTCAAGACAACAGGTATACGATCACTAGAGATATCATACCAGATTCGAGAAGAGATACTGTATCTACAGTTTTTAGATATCGCGAAGTCAATGACATCGGGTGCCTGAAGATAGTTGAATGGATGGTCTGTCGGCTCTTCAGTGCTATGTATAAGGAACCCATTTAGTATCACATGGTCATACAGTCGAATCCCACCTGTGGAATTAAACCTGGAATTCCATGCTGGATGGTTACAGTTGAAGTCTCCTGCCACAATAAGTGGACCCGAGTAGTCCATAAGGACTTCCAGATCCGCCTCTTGTAGCCTGGCGCCACACCTGACATACACCGATGTGATCTTCAACGGGACACCTCCCGCCATATTGACCACCACAGAAGCTGCTTCGATGCTATGCATTTCTGCATTCGTGCCTCTATAATAGTCAATACCGCGTTTAATCAGCACTGCTAAACCGACACCTCGACCATTCAATCTATCAGCATGGATAACATCGTAATTCGGGAGAGCTAGACGATCTCCCGGATTGCGCATCGTTTCTTGTAGCAAGGCTACATCTATACCGTCATCCAAAAGAGCTTGCTGAAGTTCATGTTTTTTGAGAATGTCCCTTAGGCCCAAACAATTCCAAAAAAGAATTTTGAGAAGTACAGGCTAGTACTATTGTACTTAGCCATTTACAGGAAAGATTGCCTGCAAAGCTTGAGTAGCGCTAATCAAAGGACTTATTATTTGTTGTAAGGACCTTAGCACGGTCGCCAGGTCTACATTTTGCGCGTTCAAGGGAGGTTGGGCAGAGGGGGCAGACAAGGTTGCTTCCCTAGCTGCATCTGCGTATCACAGGTTGCGCCTTTGCACTATAACTTCCTATAAATTCCTCCTTGGAGTGAACTTGCAAGTCGGGCTGTTTGCGGGATGACCTTCACAGTTTGCACACCGGCGCTCTTTCTGTCCTGTGAGGGGGCACAGATGCGTCATGTGGTCCTTGCACATTTTAGGCATTTGGGTGGTGCAGTGTAGTATGACTGCGCATGCCCGTACCTTTGGCAGCGGTGGCACTGCCCAACGAGTCTGGAGTTCTTTTGAACCTCAACTCGAATGGCCAGTCCCAGCAGTTCGTGTTCATTGAATACTTGCTGGGACTTTTCACTCTTCGGCAGTAACACGACCACCAAAGGCATGGGCACTGCGCCTCAATCGAATAATATGGAGAGGGCTATATCCCCTCTGTTCAAGTTCGTCCTTAATTCTTTCGAAGTTACTGGGCGGTCAGGCTGTCAATTTTAGCCGTCTGGTCCTTGATTGTTTGCATAAGTTCTCGGATTTACCTCGCCTTGTCGTCTACAATCATCATGATAATGTTGTCAAAACCCTTCTTATAGGGAGTTTTTGGGTATCTGCAATATGGATTGATCACTGGCTTGTTTTTTGTTTGTGGGCTGCTGTTGAGACATTGTATTTACTGAAAATGTTGTCCTTAATCAGATTTTGATTTTTATAGCATTCTGCCGAGCAGTTTTCCAAATTGGAATAAGATTTAAATAATAATAGTAATAATTTATTACAACTGCATGAACATGTAACACAAAATACTCGAATAAATAAAATACACACACAAAGGATCATTCATTCATTGTGCGTGGATGGTAATTGCTAACTAATTACTAAGGAATACATAACATATATAGAAGACATTAACTAAAAATATGAGTAGACAAATATGCTAATAAGGAAAATCTAAGTTTTAATTATCAGTGATACGATACACAAACACACAAAAGAAAAAAAAATACATTTATAGGAACGATACAGTGATTGATTTTATGAGATTATGCGGTGGTATGTATACTAAGTGACATATAAATCCGAACACCCAGTTTAAATGGTTTTATTTTAATAAAAGTTGGTGAATGTATTTATCTTACTGTAAATAACAAGTGAAAAAATTTCCAGCTTTATCAGTTGGACATTCCGGTTTTTATACTGCTTTTTTTTAATTCACTAACGCTCTAAAAATGAATATTTCAGCCGCAGTATAGAATCAACGTTGGCGGATTTTGGTTCTTGACATCATTTACGATCGGTTACGATGCCTAGAGTACGGAGACCTGTACGATTTCGTCAACTTAGTGAGTTTGATAGGGGCCGTATAGTGGGACTTCGGGAAGCTGGACTTTCTTTTCGGGCAATTGCAGTTAGAGTGCAAAGAAGTGTAGACACTGTGGTTAGGTGTTGTCAGGCATGGCTTCGAGAAGGCCGTACGCAACGAGCAAGGGGCACTGGACGCCGCCGTAGAACAACAGACTGTGAAGATCGCCGCCTAAGATTATTGGCCTTAAGGGACCGTTTCTCCACTACCAGGTCCATTGCAAATGAATGGTTTGCAGAACACGGAAGACCTATTGGCATGCGAAGTGTTTACCGACGAATGAGAAGTTTTGGCTTGTTTTCATACCGGCCACACTGGGACTTCCCTTTAACTCGAGAACACCGACGTAATCGCCTTGAGTGGTGCAGACAACGGTCACTCTGGGATCAGGAATGGAACAGTATTGTCTTTAGTGACGAGTCTCGATTTTGTTTAGGCATGCACGATGGTCGTGCCAGGGTTAGAAGGCGACGTGGTGAAAGGAAGAATCCAGTTTTTTGTTGAAAGACATGTTCATCACACTGTTGGAGTTATGGTTTGGGGTGCTATAGCTTATGGTTCAAAGTCACCTTTAATCTTCATCAGAGGTAACATGAACGCGCAGCGTTATATCCACGAAGTTCTAGAACCCCATCTTTTA